CATTAATAATCATCCATGGTCCATACTGACTTTGTTGAAGTATCTCTGCCGCGGTTTGACGATGATGTTCGGTACGTTTCTTTTGATTCTTCATTATTCGGCAATTATTTTGAAAAATACGTATTGCTTCAATTTCCATATAAATCCATGAACTCCAATAATGGTCATCTCTATAATATGGAACCACCGAATTCAATTTGATTTTGGCGTCTACAAGCATCGTTTGTTTGAATGGCACATTGTAGTTTGATTGACGTACGTATTGACCTCTTCCCCATGGATAAAGAACTGGAAAGAGCAACGGTTCAATTATTGGATCTGATCGATTAATTTGAAGTCTTTCATTGCCGATCGCTGTTTCGGTGGGAACTGAACCAACTGGTAAACGATAATACCTATAATCCTCATTCGTAGTGCTAACTGGATAATCATAAGGATTTAAAACAATATCAGGTCGATTCCACGGCATTTGCTGTTGAGTACTAAAAACATCTCCAGAAAAAACGGTAACTGTTGGAAACACATCGAGTCCTAATTCTCTTCTGACATCATATCTTTGAAATAAAGGATTATGTTCCAACAACCATCGCTTTGCTCGATTTAGCAATTCCATATTATGACCTTCATCAAAATGATTTTTTGAACTCTCGAGATAAGCTCCAATACATCCAGTATATAACGCGATTGCTCTCCGGTTTCGAGTCAAATTCATTTTGCCGGTAAGTGTACGATATGTTGAATACGGATTATGACTTTGATTGTAACTTTGAGTTCGTCCAAGGTTTGTCTGCAAACTGACTGGTGATAAAAATATACGAGATCGTTGTGGTAGTTCAATTAATTCCGCTGGCCATGGTCCCGAATTAGGTGGAGAACGGGGTTTAACATTACAGGAGTAACATACTGCAATGAACTCGATGCCGTTTCTCTCCTTTACGATAACTTTGTATCCAAAATTGGAAGTTAATGGATACTCCGTACCAACTGATCGTTTAATCCATTTGATACTTCTTTGAAGTAATAGAACCCCACAATACGAACACGGAGTTTCGGGAAATGATTTATCGTATTTCGAACGAAATCGCTCCATCAAGTTGCTAAAAAGACGATCAGGAACAAATATTGGGGCGATGATTTCTGAAGATATCGCTTTCGATAAAACAGGTATAGGTTTTTCGTTTGTTCCAAAATTATCCTGATTTGAAATTGAACGATTAATTTGGTTTTGATTTCGTATATAAGGATATGTTGAAAAGAGTCCTCGATTCAATTCTAGAAGCTCGTCTGATGGAACAAATAATCCATTTCCATTATTTGAATTGGAAGTTTTATCCTCCGATGTTGGAATTTGAGGAATGTATGTACGAAAACGAATCATCGGTTGGAAACAAGTATCAGGTACAGGAGTCACTGATGATATAGAAATGTCAGTATTTCTGGGCAGTAGTACTTGTTGAGGATTATTCCTAATACTATAAAGAACATAATAGATAAAATAAATCAAATCAACAAATTAAGAAAAAATAAGAAATTGGCAAAATGAAAAAATCGAGATCAGCCACATAAATCAGTCATAAAAATAATTAAAAAAAAAATTAATTTCCGGCTTTTCCTTTCCCTTTACTGCGACTAGGTATTCTTCCCGAGCTTCTATAACGTCCAACAGCTTTTTCCATAGCAACAGGCTGAACAAACTCGGTTCTCTGTTCCTGAAATGATTCATCGGGTATTTCAGAAAGTGGAGATACACTTCGAGATTTGATCTTATCAATAATTTGAAATTGATCCCGGTCATTGACTGTTGGAGACTCAAACGAAGGAGTCTCATCTGGAAGAGATGAAAGATCGATCGTTTCGATATTGCGAGGATTGATTTGAGTACCTAAAGGAGATTCATTGATGAATGAACTTTTTGAAATTGGTTTTCTGAATTTGCTGGAACTTGGAGTATTTGGAGATGTTTCTGCTGGTATTGATGATAAACGATTATCAAACAATTGTGTAGGATTTGAATCTACATCGATTGATCGACTTGGATTTGGAATCGAATACCCTTTTGAATTAGGAGGAGTAGACGGATCAAACAATTTAGTGTTTTCAGTTCCGGAACAACTCGGTAGAGGTGGTGGGGTTTCCTTTTCAATTTTAATACGAGGCTGCTTCGCTGGACTCTGTGAGGCTGATGAATTGATTGGACCTAAAATTGGTTTCCGTTTTGATTTCGGCGTTTGGAATAGACTCGCTTTCTCATCTTTGGGTATGAGATTATGAACAAAATTGATGAGCAATACATGTCCGTATGCTGATATAAGTTAGAAAATAATCGTGTATAAAACAACAGATAAAGTTTACAAACCTCGATCACCTTCACATTCATATTGATATTTGAATACTATGTCTAAAACCTTACCAGAGTTTAAGTAAGGTGAAAGCTTCGAAAACAATGGTGATTTTGTATCGATTAAAAATGTCAAAAGACACTATATATTGGTTTATATTTTTTGATTAATTTAGAATCCCAAACAAAAACCAAAACCAAAATTGGATTCAATGCTTACAGGTATATCGGTACGTGTTTCAACATCATATTGGTACATCTGTCCATCAAAGTATTTTAATCCATTCGAATCATTGATATGAGTTAGATCTGTCATCATTGTAACAGTTGAAGTCAAATATGGATCATTCGGAATTGTATCATCATTCGATACAGTTTTGAAGAGTTCCAAATTCCGTATCAACGTATACTAAAAAACAAAATTGTCAGATATATGTTTTAATAACATTACACATACCAGAAATTCATTAATTTATGGAATTAATTTGATTGAAAAACCTACCTTCGGTGTTTTCCCAATAGCCAATATAACTGTTCCGTTGAATAGGTAGAATCGATCAGAATATAGGGAGGATTCAAGTGATTGAAAGAACTTGATATCGATATGTCTTCGAGTCCCATCCATATCCTCATGGGAAACAGTTGCACATTTATAACCTCCAACTCCACTTACAGCAATAACGAGGCCAACAAATGTAAAGTATATAGGCATGATTCTTTCAAGATCAATTTAAAAAGAAACAAATTAGATAAACGTTGAAATTCATTGACTTACCTTAACAGTTCGAATAATCGTAGTGAGCAGGCTGACTAGGGGATAGGTACTGTTTTAAACCTTTGAAACTTGAATATAAATAGTTAGGCGACTAACCCACCTTGTACTAAAAATGGTAATACTTTCGATCGTGAGAGTTGCTTCTATGACGTATATCACTGTTGTCAACAGGGTTGTAGATATTTTCAGCTGCTAAGATTCATATTCCAAAATTTCTGGTTTTTGTTTCTATGACGTATATCGCTGTCATCAACAGGGTTGTAGATATTTCAGCTGCTAAATTCATCTCACAAAATTTCTTGTTTCTTATTTCCTCGTTAAAATATTCCTAAAACTACTATATAATTAATAAAATATCATAACAAACTATTTCAATTCGTTCATTTTAACTGTAAACATCAACTTGCCTGCCTGCCTGTTTGCCTGCCTGCCTGCCCGCTTGCCTGACTGCACGAATGTTTGCCCAAATGCCCAACTGCCTGCCTCCACACCTGCCTAGCTCCACGTCTGGCTGTCTGCCCGTCTGACTACCTGCCCGCCCCGCTGGCTGCCTACCTACCTACCTTCGATCAATTTAGTCGTTGATTTGGTGTCCAATTTGGGCGTCAATTTAGACGTCAATTGGGCGTCGATTTGGGCATCGATTTGGGCATCGATTTGGGCGTCAATTGGGTGTCGATTGGGTGTCAATACGGGCGTCAAACTACAAATGTAGGTATATACGTATCCAGGCGACAAGGTAGGTAAAAGGTAAGCGCCGAGGCAGGTAGAAGGTAGGTATCAAGGTAAAAGGTGAAGTAGAAGGTGAGGTAAGCATCGAGGTAGGAGCTGGGGTGTGTGTATGAAGGTGTGGATCCTCAAAATGTGATCCGTCAAATTTGACGTCATTTGCCACTGCCTTACCTAATCGGGAGTAGGTACAAGACATATCCCATTTCAGACCAAATAGATCAGCAAAAAATGACTGGTAATTTCTGATACGATGAAAACACGGGTAGACGAAGCGATACGGAGCGCAGCGAGGCCGAATTAGTGAAATTAGCAACCAGTAACAGCTAATTACATATCAGCGCCTGATTTTTTCGCTGATATATTTGTGCTCAAATGATTGAAATCAGTTTTCTTTTAACATTAATAATTCATAATAAAAATGAATAATGTGAATAATTTACGTCATTACAAAAACTCCATGAAACTTATTTCCAAACGGTTGACAAAACATATAGGATTCAGCGAAACTCATTTTAAAAATCACTATTTGAAAATTTTTGAAGATTTCGATTATAGATTTCCGAATTGTTTTTCCAAGATCTATTTTTCCGACGTTAAAAACAATTAGGTAAGAATCTTAATATAAAAAAATCAGTGCAATCTGATAATTTTAAATTCAAATCCTATTGAATCGTACATGAATATAAATACAAAATATATATAAAAATAATATTATAAATAAAAATCTAAATTAAATATATTTTTAAATAACATTTTTAAATAAGATATTTAAAAAATATATAATAAAAAATAAAAAATAAAAAAAATAGAAAAAACTGTGTAGAATTGCTTTAGGAAATTCTTTCCAAATCAGGTTTAGTGTTGTTACACTTCCACATTTTTTTTCCGGTGCATACATTTATCAGTGTTAATGTATCTTTGGGCGTACTAAAAAAGGAAGGTTGCATGCATCTTTCAGGCAATCATATTAAGGGTTAGGGTTGATACCGTTCTCGCCGAATATATATTCTCATCTGAAGGATTCGATACACTCTAGATCTAAAACAGCACACGCCCAAGCGCTCTACGAGATAACCGGAATCTCCGCCGCCACACCCCTGCTATTACTAAAATACTCACTGTATCTCAACATTATCCCACGTACCTTTAGAGATCATGCCTCCAGGATTTTCTGGGTAATGCTTACTCCGGCCTAGGTTTGGGCGCCATATATACGCGTCGGCTAACAAGTCGATATATTCTCACTATTACTAGTGACCTCAGCTTCATCTCTTCGGAACCTTCCGTCGTAACATCTCAATCTGGCAAGCGGTTCTTTGTACATGGCGACATTATCAGCGACCTAGACCTGGAAAGGATTTTTGGCACAAACAATCTCGACCTCTCGGCTTGGGATGATGACACAGTCAGCCGGTGGACCCAGTTCCTGTATGTTGGGGACTATCAGATCCCCGAATACGTCTGGCAGGAGAAATGGGAGGGAGAGGAAGAGGAGGACGGGGACGAGGACGAGGACGAGGACGAGGAAGAGAAAGAGGAGGGGGAGGAGGAGGAGGAGGAGGAGGAGGAGGAGAAAGAGGAAGAGGAGGAGGAGGAAGACGAAGAGGAAGAGGAAGAAGAGGAAGAGGGTGGTGAGCAGGCTTTAACGGATAGAGATGGGTTAAATACACCTGACAAATGCACATTTCAGGGTCGGGCGAATCGGAAGGCACGTGAAAATGCGCTACTCCCACATGCGTATATATATGTACTCGCACACTCACTTGGCCCTGATGAACTCGAAAGAGTGGCATTCGATCGCCTCAGTTCTGCACTTTATAGTGCCGGTAGCTTTATAGACAAGGGCGCCTTCAAACCAGCAATCGACTTTATTGAGATGTTGGCCTATACCTTGAATTTACCGGAGGCTGAGCATTATCCTATTAGACTAGGGCAACGGGTGCTACTCCTTGTCAGGAATTTCGCAGCAACGCATTTCGGAAATCTGATGTCCCAGGGCGAGATGTCGTCTTTGATGCTAAAGAACTGTGTTTTTGCTGTTTGGTTGATGGAGTTGGTTGCGAATAGCGTTCGCAAGGCGAAGAGTGTTGCCAGCCAACTCGAGTCGTGGAGAGATCGAGCTCGTTCGTCTGAAGAGGCACTGCAGGAATCGGTGTGGAATAACGAAAAGCTTCAAACGTCCATCGTCGCCAAAGATGTTGACATGTGGATGTTAAAGAAGGAGAGGGAGGTTTTAATGAGTAAAAACCCGGAGATAACGCTGAAGATTAATGAGGACCTTTTATATAGCCAGTTTTCCCGGGTGGATATAGGGGCTTTGCGTGTAAAGCTCTGGAAATTATACGATTTGGACCGGGAATTGATGCGAGAGTTTAAAGTAGCCAAATCACAAGAGATCAGACAGTTCTTGGATTTTGATACAAGTATTGCGGGATACCTTGATTCCTGCCTTGAGGCAGCCGACAAGTTGTTCAGGTCGGATTGGTCGGCGCTTGAAAACCCTCTAGAGTTAATCGGCAAATATGAAAGCTCTACCGCAGCCGAAAATTCATCTGGATATTCGTCCATCGAGGCTACGACAGGATCTAATTTGACACGTTCCAATTCAATAGAAATGGAAGGCCGCCCTAAGATAATTCCCAGGCCTTTGGAACTAGAGGTTGTGAAATCGGCACATATGATCCATTGGTTTAAGACAGATTCAAACCACGGTATTGCCACATTACCAGTTAAATCCACCACATGGGACGCCCTTGAAAGATGCCTCGTGGTCCGAGCGGCCTGGTTAGATCGCCATGCAGAGTGGATGAGAGATAAGATAAAGTGGTTCGAAGCGCGTTTTTCGAAGGATCGATCCGCCCAACACCCCAATGCCCGCAGCAACCCCAGGATCTTATACACCCGGCGCTAGCTGAGCTTTAGTGTAGGTATTATATATATGAATGGGGATACTTGTACATATACGTCTAGTTTGGAAGATTGCTTGCAATTGGGCCAAGTCAGTATGATTTAAATGACGCCGTCGCGCGATGATATATTTAATACACGAGGCCGGGACGACAGCTCCAATAGTAAGAGTGTTTTCTGATGATGAAATTGTGGAGACTCCTTTATCGGCTTGCAAGAATTTTGGAGATTGGGATTTTGTTATTTTTCTTTTAATTAGCACTCTTGATATCATACTTAGCTAAATAGATCAAAAGGTCGGTTTAAAGTCGGTGGTGGTGAATATTATGATTGATCATGATAGTGAAAGAAAAGCATCTGAAAAATTAAGAATGAAAAGGTACCAGGTGAGCACTACAAACGCCACCTCTATATTATCTCCCTCGGTCGCAAAATTAGTGTTGATCTTGGGTTCCCGGCCCGGGACCGTTATGTACACGGATATGACATGCAATTAATTAATAAATTAAACAAAAAAAAAATACACGGACATGACCGGGGCGAGTGATAGCTCATGATCAACCAAATTGCCAAAAAAAAAAAAAAACCGTCAGGCTTTAATTTATTGGTAAGTATATCTAGGGTATTTGCTCATGCCATGCCTACCTGGTTATCGTACTTTCGCTCCAAGTCTGGTTCAATATACGTCTAGTGCGCTACATAGAATTTGCGAATATCAGTAGTCCCAGTGGTTACCCGGCCCTTCCAGGTCTCCAAAACTTCATTCAACGACTCCTCCGGTGGGCAAAGATACGACGATAGTAATTGAATATTCCTCGAAAATTCACCTAAAATGTCACGAAACCGCCGCATAGTCGCCTGGCGCACACCCGCTGATCTCCTCGAAGTCAAGGCTGCCTTCTACCCAGTCTCAAATGGCGAAGATCTCCGTCCAATGGCACTGGCAAAGGTATGGAAGAAAGCAACATGGAAAAAGCAACCTCTATTCAGGAATCTCTAACATCCAATTGCGCCAGGTCCGTGCCTGGATATCGCGCACCCGCATCCCACATGCAATCGAAGCCACAGCGCTGCTAACAGAAGCCACCCTCCATGACACCTCCAGCCATTCAGCGCTCAACTCCAGACTCGCATACTCAACCGCGATCTGTCGGTACGTATCCGCGACCCTCCGCCCTCCCCACCCATGGACCCGCTAACAATTCAAGCCCCATACCAGCTTCGTCAATGGTCTCATAGATCCCGCACAGCAGGCGCAATTCGCATTGCCGATGCACATCCTCGCGCGCAATCTCAACCTCCCAGCGTCGTTCGTCGAGATCCGACATGCGGCGACACATGACATGCTGCCGGGGCTACCGGTACTACGGGCGGTCGCGGCGAGGGCTCTGGCATGGCTGTGGGACAATTATTGGGTCTCGGTGGGTGTCAAGTGGACGTCGGAGGTAACGGGCTCTGGGGAAGAGGCGGTGCTGCAGTCGAAGGCGCGGATGGCGCTGAAGCGGTGGAGGCAGCTAAGGAGGGATGATCCCAGGAAGCCGTTGAAGCGATTTGATAAGACTCCCGAGGGCCGGGAAACCTACAAGATCATCAAGGAGTGTGCGGCGATCTGTCGAGGGGAGGAAGGGAAGGAGGCGCTGATTGAGGCATTCCTGGAAGAGAAGGGACTAATCCCAGCGGGAAAGAAGTATGTCATGCTATCTCTTCTCCACCTCTTCTCTTGTTTTATGCTAAAGCAACTCGCAGGAAGGCACCCCTAATGAACGGCGCATTCCACCTCTGGCTTCCACTCCTAGACTCTCTTGACGCCTCCGTTAGTGGCTTTTCTAACATGCTCCTCTCCGCGATGCTCGATATTTTTAATACCAATCGGCCACTCTTCACACTTCTAGATGGGACAAACCCAGACGACACGCACCCCCCCGAATTCATGGAGGCAGTCCTCGCATGGCTGAAACACCTCACATCCACCAACCCAGAGCCCAAAACAAACTTCGGCCACCGCGCCATAAGCCCAATTGACTACGATGAGCTAATCAAACAATGCGTCGTGAGGCCCACTGAACGGTTTGCCCTCCCTCTCCCTCTGCTCCCAGGAATTCACTGACTGGTTTCATATATACAGCGGTCTTAAATTTCTCCGCCATTTACTGAATGAGTACCCGGCCATGAACGAGAAGTACGCAAGAGTCGTAGAGATTGCAGCCACTCAGGTTGTACTTCCGCCAGCTAGGAAAGCGGAGAACTGCACAGATACGAGAAAGCGGAAACTCGAAGAGGTGGAAGCCGAGGTCAAGGAATTCGAGGCCAGGTTCGAGGCCATGAAGCGGCAAAAGGCCGAGCAGGAGGCAAGGCTGAGGGATGGTGATGCGATGCAAGTGGAGGCGGTGGTGGAGACTGTCAAAGCTGGGCGATGGAAAAAGTGGAGTGGGGAATGGACACAAAGGCCTATTGGCGTCTTGTAAGATATTAGTTTTTGATGAGGTAGAATAGCGTGTAATATAAGGGAGGATACCATGTAATATCTACCTATCAGCGGCTCGAAAATGATCGAGGTAGGTGCTCCCCTCGCCCCCGCTCCCGCTTTCCATAATACGTGGAAGTGGTTGTTTTGACATTCACTATGGAGAAAATGACAAGAACATAACTCATCATATGGGAGGAATCCTACTTTATACGTTGATTAGATGGCCGAAGGATTAATTTCAGGCGTTGTGTTGATTATTTTTAAGCTGTCCTTGCGCGAGCCACTAATTCGATTATAAAGTCGAGTGATAAGTCATGATCGAGACGGTGCCACAATCCATCTACCTTATTTAGGCAGCGTAGGTTCTTATTCCATTCACATCAATCACAATTGTGTACCATTACATTATCTATCATGTAGTAGTCGCGCGCGGCGAGAGTACCAAAACATGTGGAAGTCTACAGATGTATGTACTCGGTCACACACTTTTTCTTTTTTGGGGGGGTGGCCCTGCAGCTGGTGATGATAACCTTATTTAATTATGTTGAAAAGGGGGAACAGTACAGTATATGCAAAGCTAATTGAAGATTATGAGATAAAAGAAAATGAGTAAACAAATGAAGAAGAGAAAGAAAGGAAACGTAATAATGATAATCACTTCCAACACGCAAACCTCCATTGGTGCCTTAGTCATGGTGAGCGTCTGCACCCTGTTCATACCACCTCCTTTGTTTTGGTCTGTTTTGATTTATAGGTACTTCCTTCATCAACCTTGTCTTGTCGTTCTTTACTCATCCTATATTTTGTCATACCTGCCCCATGTTTCCCGATACCCACATGCGGCTTTCCATCACGGCCTGTAAAGCTTCCTAAAGCGCAAACACGTGGATCCCCATCTTCGACGAAGTCCGACCACGTTCTGCTCCTTTTCCTTTTACCTTTTCCTTTACGACTGAAAATGTTCCACCACCGTCGGGTTGTCTGGGGTGAATTGCTCGTAGTCCTTAGAGATGTTGTGAGATTCGATAATTCTATAGAAGACATGGCTGGAACATTTGTTAGATTGATTTTTTGAATGGTGGTCTCACGAATATATTTTTTGCTTAGGTTCAATATACCTTGAGTTATTAGAGCGGGTTGACTGACGGCCCCAGAGATTTGGAGAGTTTCTGCTTCTTCGGCACCAGGTGTCTTTTGGTATTGACATACAGAAGAACCGAAATCAAATCTGATGATATCGGTTGCATAAACTAACAATAATCTCGAGGCTAATGTCATCGGCTGTCGAGGAAGAATTGGGCGACTGCGGCAGTAAAGGAGGAGTAATAGTTCCAAAACCATGATCCCCTCGCAAGTGATCATGATGTTAACGTATGTTTTTGTACGATTTATACGATCGTCACTGACTGTTTTACCACATACACCAACTAGCCAGACTAACAAATGCATATCTGATGCATAATAGGCTAATGCGCTGGTGAGATCCATATAATTAGAAGTATTATCGTAACCGTTTCGAATGATCTTGCTGATGGCGTACCAAAGACTTAGAAAAGGCCACCGCCCATCATCCGAATACATTATATTTGCATCCAAAAGTTTGTTGTCAAGAACGCAAATGTGAAACTCAAAACGGCGTTCCACCGGGGCCCGAAGGTTACAGGAAAACCTGTGTTCCTCGCCCAAAATGGCTGCCCAGTGAGCACAACAAATAGGCCGATAAGAATGAATGAATGACGCACAGCGGAACCTTTTGAAAAAGCCAGGGATAGTTATCTTTCCAGATCCAGCGTTTGCGGAACATTGTAGCCTTAGAAACCCAACAGGGTCCCTCTATCCAACGGGTTTTTTTTATCTGGGAGCTGGATTTTGTGGCGGGAGGGACTGGTTTGATGCTATCTTTTTGAAGGAGAGGCAAATCTTCCTCGTTTAGGACGATATTGGATTGGGGATCTTCACCACCCAGGCTCTGTGCTTGGAGTTTAAATCGAAGTGGCCCGAGTTTTCTTTTGAGTTCGTCATCACAGACTTCGTCGTCTATACGTAATTTTTCAAAAACGTGATAGATTGAGTTTGGAAGACTAGAAATGCTAGTAAATTTGACGAGAGACGCATAGTCGGGGTTGCGTAGCACTCCAGACCTTCTTCTATGAAGTATTATAGCCAATATCCCGATCAATACCGACTCAAAGAGTAGGACCCCTTGTAAAGTATATTTGTAGATAGGGACCATTATCACCCGACCCTTATCCTTACCGAGAATCAGGGGAAGCAGCTGTATAGGAACCATCGTATCGGTTATCAGGACCATAGATGTGCAGAGAATTGTCCAATGACGATTTCTTATCGACATGTATGTTGTGATAAACACTGAACGGAAATAATCGACGCAAAGGCTTGTCGAGCCAGTCGCACCCCCCGGCTGTGACATCTGGAAAGAAGGTTCCATATTTTTGACCGCTCTGTTAAGGATAAAGAGAAAGTATCTGGGAAAAGTGCATAAATGCAATATGAAAATGAGCATAAGGTAACCTTCGTACTTATATTCACTGACTGTAGCTCGCGGTCTCGATCTCTAAGGAAAGTTTGATGACAATATTTAAGCAGGGTGATCGATATGAGAGGCATTATGCACCAGAAACATAATGCCCAAGTACGCATGACCCAAGGGCGGTAGTTTGATGATTTTAGGGTAGAATCATCTATATCTATTTTCTCAGTGGCTATAATTTAGTCTCTATGCATAAGACAACGATTAAAAAAAAATCCGTGTTACCTTCACATGTGTTTGGGTTAGAAGAAATATTTGAGTAGGTGGTTTCAATGGAAGGGGATACCGTAGTAACACTGCTGGATTTGTGATTGGCGTACTTTTGTATTGCCATATTGCTGACATATTAATCCGTATATGTATTGCAAGTATAGGAGAGATTTAAAGATTAGTTAGGTTTGAGGCAGGAACTTTGTAGCTGCCTAGTAATATCGCCTTTATATAAGAGCGAGCCCTCGAAGATTTTGGGTATCCCGGTGTGGCCTAGAGTAAATATTAGCATGGCTTAGCTACCTATTAGATCGTAAATATCCGGAGCTGTCTGTAGTGCATGCAGATTGCATGGTATTCGTTGTAGTGAACTATATAAAAGGTTATGACTATCATGAATTAATGCTGTGATCGATCCGTTTGGCAGTTTAAGGACCTATCCAAAAGGTCAATTATGTGGGGCGGACAAGTGCAAGTAAAGTAGCCCAAACACTTCAAACTCTTCGCCGATCCCGCTGCCGAACAGGGCCCTTGTTTTTCTAGGGTGGCTGTACTCTACCTACCCTACGTAGCGCATTAATTGAATAGATAGCCGGCCACGTACTTATACAAGGTGCTGATGGGGGTGTCGACAAGAGAGTTTAATTAGCTGTGCGGTACTTGAACAGCTAGAAACCAAATGACCACTATTATATACTATGCATGCTGCAACCAACAGGAATTGCACCTCTTCTAGTTCGGGTGGCTGAGCTCGGACTCCCGGCTCCCCCCACTTCTCCTCGCTCAGTTTCCTATTCAGTCTTCGCTCTCTCTCTACTTTCGGTGCCCGTGCTAGGCCGGGATGGTTGGTTATTACAGTCACTCACGGGGTGAAGGCGGATCCTGTCTGATGGCGGTCAGGGGTTTGGGGCCAATAAAAGAGTTAGGTTTTGGATGCCAAGGGCAAATTACTGCAAACAGATCCATCAGACAAGATCCGCCGTCAGTAGGTGAGCGACTGTAGTGCTTGTTTCTTGGGTTGGAGTTTAGGACTCTGACCGGTTTCATGCTTGATGTAAATTCTTCCTTATGTTTGTTTTCTTGGGGACTCTGGTAGGGGAGGGGTTTTGTTCACACCATAGCGTTAGCTGCATGCGATATTCTTGTACCCAGAAACCAATGAAACTATGATTTTTTTTAAAAAAAAAAGAAAACCCCAACAGGAATTGCAGGAGGTTTTTGTCCAAAATGCGCAGCGCCGAAAAAGCAAATGCAAGTTGGATGTAAGTACAGTCGCGCCTTGCTATGCGGGATATTAGCAAATATTTACGATAGCAAATTGATTTTGCAACAAGAAAATTAAAATCTTAGAGGGTTTCGTACGTACGGGTGTTGAGTTCCGGCACATATATATATCGAGTTAATTTCTTTCCCTGTGGAGCGAGTACAAAACCGACTAAGCAGAGGTTAATAACTTTTCCAGAATTTTCGGTTCTCAGGAGAGATGCCCGGCTAGATGTCCACCTACTCGGAGAGGTTTCTGGTTTTGATTCCGATTTAAATAGTGTTCTCCATGAGACGAGACGTCCTGAAGTCTTGTCTCGAGATCTAGACTCATGTCTCGAACAGCTCGACACCAAGCATTTTTGGTCTCGAGACCGGCTTGAAATCTGCCAAGTCATCCTAGTGTCATAAGTGTTACATGTATGTAGTGATAAAATGACCTAGTTCGCCCCGAGGTGGGCCCCTCCTGGGAAGCACATAACTTCAACCGTTCGTGACATACTTATTGGGTAGCGTTTGATCAGTTGGGTAAGGAAATATTAACAGGTAATATATGAATAGAAGAATGAAGAGATTGTGCAAAGCTTTCTGTTGGGGCCTTGGCTCACAACTACTCACTCGTTTTTCTCAAGCCTGTCTCGGGACGGGCAAGATGAGACGGCACTAGCACCTTCATTTTACAAGACGAGACAAGATCGGACCTAAGTCTCGCCCCGAACGGCATCGTGGAGAACACTGGCCTTGAAGAATAGTAATGGCCTTCCCTAAAAAAGTGTTATGAAAAGTCAGCAAGTTCACTTGAAAACAGGAACCTCATAAGCACGGAATCAACACCTGGCTCTAAACCTAGGCGAAATCTCCTGTATTTACTTAATTACATTGCCATCAAACGGTAGAAAGCAGGTCTGATGTATATACGTATCCTCATGTAAACCATGGCCTGTAAAGACCTCGTAAGAATATAAAAACTTATTACAGCCTTGTCGAAGTGATCTTAGAGCATGCTTGTATCTAACTTATCAGAGGTTTATATGTCAAGGAGTGCCTTGACAGCCTGAATATTTAGATAAGTTACACGGTTTTACGGTGCGACGGTCAAAGTCACCCATACCCAATGCTGGTGTGCAAGCCTGTCCAGACATTTGTGGGGGTATGACAGCCAGCAATAAATCCCGTCCCCAATAATCGTAAACACTACATGAGTCGCACGCTCCAAGTGCATAGCACTTGGGCTCAGTATTACAGGCGAGGGGATGTTGTAATAAGAATTAATAGTAGGTGTAATAATTTAGGTACATGCATGTACTCGGGGCATGTGTGAACCACATACATACTATAAAAAGAAAATGCTTGGTACAGTACTTTTTGCCTGCCCCGAGTATGTACAGTAGGTACATGTAAGTTAGGGGCCCGTGACGAACTCGGGAGTTTCAAACTGAGTTACTAACAGACAGTTTTAAACTGGTTAAAAACTGGCTTGAGGAAAGCTGGGTGTTATGGTTATGAACTAATCACTGGTGTAAACCGAATTTTTGTATGAGTTAGGGTAATTCGAGGTGTAAAATCGGATTAGAAAATGAAATTTGGGGTGGATTAGGGTAATCTTGGAGGTTAGTTCGTTTGTTCGTCAACACCCAGTGCCCGTCAAAACCCTGTGAACGACAGTACAGTACCGCCATATCTCGAAAAATTGGCTAGCTTCCAGAGATCAAAATTACTTGTATGGGAAACTTCTGATGCAGATCGATGCCATTCAACCAATCACTCGAGCGATAATCCCTGGCCGGAGATAGCCAATTTTTCGAGTTTTGGCGGTACTTGTACAGCGGAAATGGAAAAATGATAATCCGAGGCATGGCCAAGCTGCACTAAACCCTATTCAGCCGTTTCTTCACAGGCAAAAAAATCCCGACCACGTCAACTGTTATCCGAGCAAGCATCCTGAGGTCGAACCCCTCCAAAGGAACCCCTCTGGAAACAAAAACAAAAACGTTTCTATTCTAGTCCCAACTTAACAAGACCACATCCCCTTTGCCAGTCATTAATGCTCATCCCCGCCCATCGCTTGAAATGAGTGCCCGTCTCCTATCATCCAGAGCTGTTTCCTCAGCGATTTTACGCCGGCCTCAAATCGCCACTCGTCGCGTTCTTGCGGCTGCGCCTTTATCCACATCTACCATAAAATCTAGTAGTACTACCTCCGGCGGCCTTCTACGTCTTGAGTCTGTATTGAGGTCTCAACGGCAAACATGGCCCAACCAGATCTATCGTGCTCACAGTGCCGGGGCTACGGCAGTTAGGGCTTTGAGCTTTCACCGGGCTATACCAAAGCTCATGATGAAATTTATTAGGATACCCGCTGCGTTTGGTGGCGCTATGATTGCAGGTTTGGCTTATGTACAGTATCAGGCCCAGCGTCAGTACCGGCTACCCATCTAGCGAACTCGTGAAGGGATCTATTACTAATTATGGTTAAACAGAGGCGGGCAACTACGCTATAGGGGTTTTCAACTCGGCTGGCGAAATTGTAGGAACGACTTATTCTGGGGCCAAGCAGAAGGTCAATGATATTTACGGAGGAGTAGCCGGTGGAGTCGGCTCAGTTGAGCTTCCCGAGATGCCTGAATGGATGCAAAGCTTGTTTTCCGGGGGTGGAAAGGACTCCGGGAATTCGGGCAGTGGCAGCGGTCAGGATCCAAAGGGAGGAGGCCCTAGAAAGGCTGCGGCTTCGGGGCTAGCAGGCGTAGCATTATACGGCGCCGGTGATGATGACGAGCGGACCGATCAACAAGCTGCCAAGGATGACCAAATGATGGTTTTGACTAGGAAGATGATTGAAATACGGAGCATTCTGCAGAAGGTTGGGCAGACGGGGGTTCTTCAACTTCCTTCAATCGTGGTTATTGGCTCGCAGAGTTCAGGAAAGAGTTCGGTTTTGGAGGCAATTGTCGGTCATGAATTCTTACCAAAGGGCTCAAACATGGTTACCCGCCGGCCGATTGAATTGACTCTTATCAATACGCCTGACTCACCGATCGAATATGGCGAGTTTCCAGCTCTTGGACTTGGACGCATTTCAGACTTTACCCAGATTCAGCGGACACTTACCGACCTCAATCTTGCTGTTCCTGAGGCCGATTGTGTGTCTGATGATCCTATACAACTCAATATCTACTCCCCTACTGTCCCAGACCTATCACTTATTGATCTTCCGGGCTATATCCAAATTAGTGCCCATGATCAACCCGAAGAATTGAAGGGAAAGATTGCGGCTCTATGTGATAAATACATTCAGGCGCCTAACGTTATTCTTGCAATTTCAGCCGCTGATGTCGACTTGGCAAATTCCACGGCCTTGAGGGCAAGCAGGAGAGTTGACCCAAGAGGTGAAAGGACTATTGGTGTTATCACAAAGATGGATTTGGTGGATCCCGAACGAGGAAGCGCAATTTTGAGGGATAGAAATTACCCTCTGCGGTTAGGCTATGTGGGGGTTGTCTGTAGGACGCCATCGTCAAAACTAGGTTTCCTAGGCAGCAAAAATGTCAACATCTCCAACGCTATTAGCAAAAACGAAAATGCCTACTTTGGAGCACACCCTGAATTTGCTGCACCTGACAGCCAACTAACAGTTGGAACCCAAAATTTAAGAAAGAAGCTCATGACTGTGCTAGAGCAGACTATGGCATTGAGTCTACAAAGTACCAGTGATGCAATTCATCAAGAGCTTGAAGAAGCAACCTATGAATTCAAAGTACAGTACAATGACCGACCGTTGACCGCAGAGACCTATCTGGCAGAATCACTCGACAAATTCAAGCATTCCTTCAAAAATTTCACTGAACACTTTGGCCGGCCACAGGTCAGACAGCTTCTCAAGCACGAACTTGATCAGAAGGTCCTTGATCTCCTAGCATCCCGATACTGGAACAAGCCTCTTGGAGAAGACAAATCACGAAGCCGTCTTGACGAACGCCCCTTATCGGAGCTTCCAAATGCTGACTCGGAAAGTCTTTTCTGGCACCGTCGACTTGACGCCTCAACATCTTCCCTCACAAAGCTCGGCGTCGGCCGTCTAGCTACAAATGTAGTCGCCAACGCCCTCACTCAGCATATGGATCGTCTCGTCTCTGAGTCTACATTCAAAGAACATCCCTTCGCAAAGCAGGCTATCCAGGAAGCAACCAACGCAATTCTAAACGAGAGATTCTATTCCACTAGCGACCAAGTCGAGAACTGTATCAAGCCTTTCAAGTTTGAAATTGAAGTGGATGATCGCGAGTGGGCACAGAGCAGGGAGAATGCCCAGCGATTATTAAAGGAGGAATTGAAGGCGTGTGAAGAAGCTTTGAAGAACATGAAGACTACTATTGGTGGAAAGAAGTTAGGCCAGGTCATGACCTTTGTGGATAAAATTAGACAGGGGGAGCACGCAGATGTGAAGGAGGGAACGGAGGCTTTTGGCTTTAGTCAAGCACTTTTGCAAAAGGGTAAGTTTCAATATCCAAACTGGCGCATTTGGAATCGTGCTGATAGGATCTCTTAAAGGACGTGAGGGTGTCTTCCTAAGAGACAGAGCAGACCTCATCAAGATGCGTCTAATGGCTCTTAAGAGCAAGCAGTGTGCAAACCTAGCCAACAAATATCACTGCCCGGAGATCTTCATGGATGTAGTCGCCGAGAAACTGACCTCCACAGCCGTTCTCTTCCTGAACGTCGAGCTACTCTCAGAATTCTACTACAACGTATATCCCCCTCTTCTCATCCTTACATTCATCAACTAACCCACCCCTCAGTTCCCTCGAGAGCTTGACAACCGCCTTGGTCGCCACCTCTCAATACAGCAAGTCGAGGCTTTCGCTCGCGAAGACCCAAAGATCCGAAAACACATTGACCTTCAGAAGCGAAAAGAGCTCCTTGAGCTCGCACTAGAGAAGATGGAGAGCCTCATGGCCCTAGAGAAGAGCAAGAAGCAGGCCCAGGGGACTGCGGCGGAGCATGGCCCAAGTGTGAGAGGTAGCAGGTGGGGCGGTATGTTTTAGATGGATATGAAGGGATGCGGCGTTTTTGTGAGGCTTTTTCTTCTTTCTTTTTTTTCTCTCAGTTCCTTTCCATCCTTGGTGTGTGTTTTGAGGCGAGCGCGGCGGTACTTGACTTTACTTACACATAACGTAAATTCCCAACTCCTTCTTGATAAGGCTTTGTTTTTGTATGTGCATTTGATCATTCTTGTTTTATGTTTTTTTTTATATGCCTTTCTGTGCCTGATATGTATATTGCTTTATGATACGATACTGCCTTGCGTGTTTGATATGCGCTAGATATGAGACGACGATATGATGAGAAACGTAGAATACATAGCATGGAATATGAGATTTAGAATTTTGTGGCAAGTCGTGGAGATCTGTCTCTTCTGTGACCTGCCCAGCTAATCTGGATACCGATTTTTCAATCATCTCAAACTTTCCTCACATTCTGCGCGCGCACCCCTACTGTCTTTCGGGATTCAAGGTCCCTAGACAAAACGTACTAACCTCGGCGGCAGAGGCCGCAGGAATAAAGGAGATCGAAGGCCAACCAAGCAAATCACCACTAGTGGTAACACTCATGATGAACACAGGCACTGTTGTGGCAGAATAGATCCCGGATTAAACCGCTGTTATTTTGGGTGCAGCACAAATTAACTGCTTACGTCAATAAGACTTGCACGGTTCACTTGACGCTCCACCCTCTCTCTAGCTGTCCGTAAAGAAGCTGTCCGGGATTATCTTAAGCACAGTCATCCGCCAGTAGTTCTAGCTTCAGTGGTGCCAAGATGTTGTCGAATTAGCGTGTCGAGTGATATGTCATGATCTGGGCGGATGAATGGGACTATTTGGTTATGCATGATTGGAGCGGGCGGTCTACAGTTCTTCACCCCGTACACACCGCAAACACAGCAACCCGGCTTACTACATGTACATACTTGTATGTACTTCATTTCTCTTTATTTCAACAACTCATGTCCACAAACCATTCTCTAGGTTACTAAAATCATAATTTTAAAACATGCGTACTCGTAGAAAGAAATCTCCAAACGTGTCTATCTATCTAATAGTACCGCCAAAAAAAAAAAAGGGGAAAGAAAACCGGGGATATTACAACCATGTACTTCTAGATCTAATCCATAGCCATCTTGGCCACCTCCTCCGCCACCTCGTCTACACTGCTCTTTCCGCCCCGCAGCACAACCTCGCTGGTGCCGACCTTGGATCCAAGCTCCTTCCATCGTGCTGTGTATGCAGCGCGGCGCTCGCCAGCGATGCGCAGGATCTCGGGCCAGTATTTGGGGTTCTGGTACTCAAAGTTACTGTCTCCGCCGAACTTGATGTCGAGCTGGTCGGCAGGGACGTATTTACGGAGGTCCTCATTGAAAATGAGTTTTTCACGGGTCTAGAGATTGTTAGCGGGAATTCGTTGTTGGGCGTATAGAGCGAACTTACCAGGGGATCAATAAATGGGTTGATGGCCTTGAAGAAGAGTGACACGAACCAAGGGACTGCGTTGTGTTAGTTGTTCGGCTTCTATGATTTGTAGCGGGATACTCACTGTTGATGATCAACGCCCTGCCCAATCTCTCGGGATAGTGCATCTGCAGAATGTTCAGAACCTCTCTTCCCTGCCCGACTGACGGACTCGTGCTGCTTGTCGCACTCTTGAAGTCGATCAGGAGCGCCAAAGTCTCCTGTCCCGGTCCCATGATATCAATGACTCTCTCAAGCATGAACACCAGCGCATGCACCTGTCTCGGGCCCTTCTCAGTATTCTGTCTCCCGGGGTTCAGGTAAATACATGGCCGCGCGTCGTTGTCGAAACCCAGTGTGTACATCTTTCCTGTCTCAAGCTCCGGCGAGATATAGTCTCCGGTGTGCTCGCGAACACCGTACTCCCGACGCCAGGTCAGCGTGCCCTCCACACGCTTCTTTGCGTTGGCGACGTTCCACTTTGTGGCGCGGAGGTAGCGGAGAAGGCACTCCCGCGTCAGCCACATCTTCTCCTCATCGTCGAGGGGCTTGGCTTCGGCGCCCTTCTCGGTGGAGACGGGGACGGACTCGAGCTTTTCGATGTAGGTAAGAAGCTCGGCGTATTTGGTCTCCTGCTCGGCAGTTATAGCCTCGACCTTTGGGGGGTTGCAATCGGGCTTGGGGTTGATGAAGGGCGTGTAGCGCTTGTTGTCCTTGGCCTCCTCTGCGGCTAACTCGGCGTTTGGAATGACCTCTGGATGGATGGTGAGTTTAGGGGCGGCGGAAACTGGTGCAGGGGTCTCGGCAGGAGCAGCTGCAGGGGTGTCGGCGACTGGTGCGGCCTCGGCTGGGGGTGCGGCCTCGGTTGTTTTTGTTTCAGGTGCAGGTGTCTTCGTCTCGGCTACCGGGGCCTTCTCGTCAACGGCTGCTGCTGGGACCACGGAGGTCTCAACGGGGGTCTCAACGGGAGTCTCGGCAACTGGTGCTGTGGTCTCTGTCATGTTTGTGAGGGTATGGGGGGGTTCAATTGAGCGGATTAATCTGTTCAGAGCTCAGTCAATGTTAGGTGGGTCAACAATAACAGAGAAAACTCGGGGGTAGGATGGCAATCCATACGTAATTAACAGCTATATATTCTATAAAAGCAGCAGCAAGACGTTTTGAAGCAGTACCAGTGGTAGAGGAGAAGGTAAGAAGGCGGAGGAGGGATAAGAGAAAGGACGTGGTGGTGGTTGTGTTGTCGTATCTACACTGGCAGCCAAGTGAAGTAGAGTAAGAGGTGCCCAGTGATAATAAGTACTCTGGATGCACGCCCTAGCCACCACCACAACCACAACCACAACCACAACCACAACCGTCCTTCCTTCCTTCCTTCTGTCTCTCGTCCTATTCTCGGGATGTTGGCTTGCCGGGTTGTTGGCACAGGGATGAATCCATATCCCCCTGTCGCTTCATGCAATCTCCGCTGTCCAGCACCGGAACATCCCCCCAATCGCTGCACCATCAGATAGGCGTAGCATGCAGCCCGTACCTAATCTGAATTGGGGCCACCACCCCGAATGGCGTTCGTTGACTAAGGGAATATGTAAGTTGTAACTCTAGAGCAATCTCTCTCGGTACAGTGCCGTACTCTAAATGGATGAGAGCTGTGCCGTATGACAACTTTAATTTGACCACGCAGTTGAAAGGTTGGAGGTGCCGGAAGCGCTTGCCGGTTTATCTACCAGTAGATTAGCATCAGATCGATCCCATCTAAAGTACTGAGTTCTTTCTACATACCTACTCTAGGGGGGCCCTGATGACGTGAGCAAGGGGGAAAGCTTGTGGTTTGGATGCTCGATGTGAGGCCCTCAGTGATACAGCGAGAGGTAAAATTATTGTAGAAACAGGGATCTAAAAACAGGGTTTCTGTGGCTGGGCAAGCCAATAGGACTCCTCCCATATTTCTACAATAATCTTACCGCAAGCTGTACAAACATAAGGACTAGGATCCGCTTTCGTGAGTTGAGTTACACAGATGGATGTCGCAATGGAATCTGCCGCATACATAGCTTTTTAAAGTCTCGAGTCCCACAAAACATGGCCCCAGTGGAAAAGTTCACCCCTTATCTTATCTGTTGGAATTCGTCTCGCGGTGCGCTATTACTCTGAGCACTAACATAACTCAAAGGTTCATTATTACACGTAGAGCTCAGAAACCTGGAATGCAACAGTTCTCTGGATTGGAACCGAAGCCTAAAGTGCACAATATGACCTCGTATTCAGCGTGTAACGAGCTAGTTGGTGCACTTCCGCCGAAGATGTGTAGATATTGGAGGTTTCTCTCTATCTGCGTTTCTTAGGATTTGAATCGATTTACCAGTCACTACTCTATGGTGTCAGTAGTAGTAGTGCTTTATTGATCGTGACAGGTCAAGAGCTCCAGCGCCATGTCCATTTTTGGTGACATCAGACCAGGCACGTGACCCCCTCAGGCCCTAGTGCAGATCCCTGGGCACCCTTTTTTTTTCACCACACCAAACCCGGTCATGGCTCAGGGTCCATCCAACCTGTCCATCTTGTTCATCTCGTGGACCAGCACATCCGAACAGTGTGTGATAATCCATCTATCTGATACAGAGGAACTCTCTTGGAATTGTAGAACAGATAACCAAGAAAACAATTTATCTGTGACGTCGTAAAGGACCGGAAGCTGGATCTTTTTATTTGAACTGGCAAGAAAAACACCGCAGATAGGGTGGAATTTGGTTGTGTTGCCAAGGAAAATTCGCTCGCGTGTGAGTGGCGGAAGAAACTCGAAAATCGCGACATTCAGCTCCATCTTGTGGTGTTAGCTCCTGCATAATCCTCTACCGATAAAGAAGAGGACTTCTCCTGGCTACGTAACAAGCTCTAGTTAGCTATTTCTCTTCAGCCCCTTCACTCTCTTTCCTTTCCCCTCTTCTATCATTCACTCATTATTGAAATCCTAATTCCACTTTCTCTCAAGCTTGTAACCATGTGTAAGCTCACCCCTAAGCTCCCCTTGATAAGTTAGATCGAATGACTCACTAACACCCCCCTCCAGGTCGCTTCCTCGTCTACAAAGGCTCTAACCCAATCCTTCTCTCGGACCTGATCCTCAACCCTACGCACTCAATCCTCACCCAGTCTTATGACTGCCGTCTCCGCCTAGACCGCCGTCCTCACAACGGCGACGGCTTCGGCGTGGGCTACTACACGACCCCCGAACTATCCTCGGAGCCCTGCATCTTCACGTCTACCACCCCCGCCTGGAATTGTGTCAACCTTGCCCGCATCGCCAAAAAGACCGTCTCAAGCCTAATCTTTGCCCACGTCCGCGCTACCACCACGGGTGCCCTCAGCGAGAGCAACTGCCATCCGTTCTCCTATGGCAGTCTGATGTTTATGCACAATGGCCACTTGGCAAACTTTACCAGAATCAAGAGGAGGCTAGTTAGCAGCATAAAGGACGAGTTCTTCCTGATTGTCGAGGGCTCAACTGACAGCGAGTGGGCGTTCGCGCTGTACCTTGACACCCTTGCGTCGCTGGGCGTAGACCCAAAGAACCCGCCTACAGCGACTGGTTTCGGGCACACCCTTCTGCGCCAGGCGATGCTGGGGACGATCCGGAGGTTAAATGAGTTCTGGAGTGAGATTGGCGTGGATGAGCCAAGCTTGCTGAACTTTGCAGTGACAGATGGACACAGTGTTGTGTGCACACGCTACGTGACATCGCAGACAGAGGAGGCAGCGAGTCTGTACTTCTCGTCCGGAACAAGGTTCCACGAGTACAAGGAGGGTGGTTTCTATCGGATGGAACGACATGATCGTGGACAAGATCTTGTTATGGTTGCCAGTGAGCCATTAACGTTCGAGCGCGGTGATTGGGTTACGGTGCCGACAAATAGTGTGCTGAGTATTAACAAGCAGACTGTGTTGATTCACCCTATTGTTGGTAAGTAGAGCTTTTCTTGATGGCTGTTGAATGTTGCTGACATGTGTAAAGATCAATATTACCAGTCAAATCCGTCGTTTGCGCGCTCGACGGCACTTGCTGAGTCGAAGGGCATGGTCGGACAGGGCCCTGAAGCTCCCGCCACGGGCATACCCACTTCCGTCCCTGTCCCCACACCCGTCCCCGCCCCTACGGCCTCTCTCTCTGCCTCAACTTCTACAAACGGTGGACCCACGCCTACAACTAGTGGTACTGCAACACCAAAATCAATAGCAACCCCGCCACCAGGAGAAAAAGTACAGCCCAAAGCCAAGAAGGAAATCCCCCATAAACTGCAAATTTCAACACTACACAACAAGAAAGAACAGGAAATATGGAAAGAAACTGGCTTTATTGTCCGAGTAGCTCTTCTGGCACTGGTGACGTTGATGGTGTTAGTGAATAGGGGATATCTCGATTGGGAGAGCATTCCGGAGGCGCTTGACGGGTGGATAAAATCTATGCAGTGATTTGGTGTTATGTGGATGTGAGGAGTTGAGTTGTCTCTTTTGTACGGAATTGGGATGGCGTTTAAGTGTTCTTAATGTGTGATATCCAGGTCAACGTGTGTTGGCTATCCCTTTGTTTTGTACTTTAGCTGGTGTGCGTACTTAGTAATTGAATGATTGGTTGATGATTACCTATTTCTGTTTGTTTTTTCGGTTATGTGCAGTTTATAGGAGTTTTCTTTGATAAAATTGTTGAACGACATGGTCGGAAAAAGTCTTGATATGGTGGTGCAGACATTCATAGCCTATCACTCGCCCAAGCTGTTTCTAAAATTTCAGTAACTACATGTATCTTGATCTAGATTAAGCTTCTGTATCACGAATCGCAAGACATACCACTCGTGAAGGATCATAAGGTTAAATTTTTATAGCTAACACATGTGTAGGCGCTAAGACACACTCGTCTGTCTCCGACCTGCCCGACCGGCTATTAACTAGGCTTTCCTAAATGTGTGGCGGTTATGTAGATTTGGGCGAAAACTCCGGAACCTGATTGAAAAAAACAAGGAAGTTTTAAGACTTCTATTTTTATCACTGAGATTTCGTCTTTTTGAACCGATAGACTGGAACATGTTTACTGTCGTTCACGCGGGGTGTTGACGGGGCGCTGGGTGTTGACGGACCAGCCAAAAAAGAGATAGCCAAGCCAAGTTTTGCCTTTAATCTGTCAACACCCAGTGTCCGCCAATACCCCGTGAACGACAGTAGTGGATTTGATGCTCGCGTTTCAATCTATATAGGCCTCTTGCAGACTCCAGAGGAAACATCGGTCGCGGTATACAGTTGCACCTCGCTATGGCGGAACTAAATATGCCGGACCCCTTGCTGTCCCGTACGAAATTCTCTGAGGATTATATATATTCTTCTACATACTGCAAATTCAATTTTCTATCCCGAGCTTCTTGGGAGTGTTTGCTATCCCATTCATAATTTCTTGAGTCTTGACAATCCGGTATGCATAGCGAGGTGCGACTGTATGTACTACGAACCTGTACGCGTGCCAAGCTATATAAAAGCCCGGGCACGGGGCAGTCGTACTGTACTCTAGATATACTCTACTCGGGTGTAGCAATAAGAACCAGAACATGCAAGTGAAGAGACTGGGATTATTTGTATGGAGTGGCGCCGCTCTGCCATACAAATAACCTCATGGCATGTTCTGGTTCTAACCCTTGTACCCGAGTACTCTATCCGCTGTATGTAGGGCGTCGGAGGATTAATCCAGATGTGCAGAATCGCCCCGCACTCGGTGTCTGGATTTAGAAAATGTGTCGATGCGTTGTGCCAAAATATGTCTCCCCTCATATGTAAGTACTCGCTGTAAAAGGCAACTTCGACGTCTTGTGTGACAATCCGCCGAGACATAGTAATTGGGCACTGTGTTAGCCCACTAGGATCTTTGGCTGGGTGGTGCATGCCCAAATAGCCCAGATATCGCAATAATACCTACAACGCACTCCCTAAATTCAGAATTCAAGTACGGGGCCTCTCTGCTACATCGGTCAGCCGCAGTGTTTGAAAGTAAAATATACGAAAATTAAATATATGGTAAAGAACCCAGAAAACCCTTGATGACAGGCAATTTTTTTTTAACCTTTATATTATACACGTACACTCATTTGAAGATTTGTTCTCTAATGGCTGAGATATCACTGATTCATGGTAGTCAGACTGAGCCAGAGACAGGCCAGAGACAGGCCAGAGCCAGATCAGTTAGAAAGGATTCGATTGGTTAGGCGGCAAAGCGTGTTTCCAACTCTATCTCATGATCAGCTTTCCATCCAGCAGAAAGGTCGTTTGAAAAGCTGGGATCAAGCCAGAACAACAAAGAATGGTATGACGTGGTTTCTTTTAAGTTTCAGAGATTTCAACAGACCTACATTTAGTGCTATACAATCGGCGATTTATCCAGCTAGTACTGTTAAAGAACTTCAGCTCTTAATTTTCAGCCCGGCGGTTTTTTGTTTTTGGGTCCTCGGACTGTAGCCCGGAACCTACCCTGACTTTTTATTGGCTCAAAAAAATACCTTGACCTTGGTTCCTCAATCTGGCTACCATTAATAGAGGGTGGCAGCTGGAAGGGTACTCGCGACCAGCAACAAGAACCCGAATATGCAGCTGCAAGTCTTTGGTGTATTTTTGACTTCTACTCCAATGGAAATTGCAGATTAGGACGTGCATTTTCGGGTTCTTGTTGCTGGTCGCGAGTAGTACTCTGGTTTCAAAACCACCTATTCCTAAAACTACTTAGCAGCCCAACTTCTTTGGCGTTGAAACAAGAGTAGCTTTCCATGCAGCTGTCACATAGCCGCACGAGTCGAATATGCAGAAACCCAAGCACCTCGACAAACGCCCTGCACATCCTATTGGTTGAATGGTTGCAAGTCCTCTCCCAAAACAGCTAGGCTTTCCGACTTTCTCAGCTAAAATACTGTAATGGCTGAATATCAACTATGGTTGGCTGAAAGCTTTCCATTCGCCATCCAACATGTGGTACAAGATTCGCCATTGTCCCAGAAAATACTAATAATTTAGTGATTAGTAATGGGCACGAGACAAGTTATCTCGAGACTTTTTGCAAGACAAGACGAGACCTTGATAAGACAAGGCAAGACCAGGTTCGGAGGTCTCGAGATAAGTCTCGAGACTTTTTTGACTTTTTTTCCTTACCTAAATTAAATAAATGTTCTAACCCCAGCTCAAAAATGGAGTGAAGAAATAAAGAAATCCTTTATTTGCACTAATTAGCATAATTGCAGAGCTTTCCCAGCCCCCGTAGTCACGTAACGAAAGTCTCGTCTCGTGCCCACCACTAAATACTATTAGATATGGTTACGAACACCATTGCAGGAGCAGTAACAACTACACTGACCACTGCTCCAGGCACCTATAGACTACATGTAGTAGTGGCCCACCTCGCGATCGCGAGGTCTTACTCCCACCTGAAAATCTTTCCCACCGGCACCTACATTTAGTAGTACTTCCCGCGGCCAGCTCCAGTAATTAAGGTTGCCCTTAGCCATCTCCAGCTAGTAGTACATATTGTTGTTGCCCATGGCCAGCTCTGCAGTTGAACATGACTAGCTCTCGCTATCACCAACCCATCTGGTAGTGGCCCATTTAGACTTAGAATATTAGTCAATTCAGCCATCGTCACCACCTTGATCCCGGAATACCCCACCTCCAGCACTTCCTCCCTCTTACTTTCCAGCTCCAAGGTTTTTCATCACCAGTATGTACAGCGGTACATGTACATGTATATAATTATATACCCACATCCCGTAGTATATTTGACCCCATCATATTAAATTAACCGGGCATGCCAATTTCATGGTCACTGCTCTCCCAAGTGTCCGTCAAATTTTTGGCGGTTAAGCGGTTGCTATGCAGTCGCAAAACCATAATCTAATAGAAGAGGTCTGGAAGACTACCGTGCATGGTATCGGTCGATGAGGTGTAAACTATGACACGCCGGCACCACGTATGTAAGGGTTTAAATGCAGGTGTCAGTAGGGTACGTGGGAAATCGCCGAATCTCAGGAATAACGAATCGGACTGGGCTGAAATACCGGCACTTACCGGCATTGGTCAAAACGGCCAAAAAGTTACGCTTTGGGTCTGCAGGGCGGATTGAGGTTCAACAAGCATTTGACCATTTGACTCGCGCTTGGGGGTATGCCGAAGTTGGGGGAATGCCGAACAAGGATTATTTGGGTGAGAGAACAGCTGGTATATACTGTAGTTGGTTGCAACGTCGAGTTCCAGCACGGTTCGGCATTCCCCCAACTTCGAGACATATCCCCAAGCGCGAGTCTAATCCGGAGCACAATATTCTCAGTCCTGTTCGTTATTCTTGAGATTCATTCCTCAATTAGTAGTGCAGTCTACGCAATAGGCGGCCGGTTTCTCTCATGGCCATTCAGACACCCCTCTCACTCGGACAGTTAACGTAGAAAGTTGTTAGTCCGAATGGCTACGGAAGTCGTCTATTAAGCTAGCTAACAGAATAAAAGTTACAGTGATATATATGTAATTATATCCGAGAGGCGCCCCTCGGGGTTGGTTTGTATAACTATATAAATCAGTTCCTGCCCCCAGGGGAGTTATTCTGCAACTCACTCCACAGCGCAATCTTACACACATAAAAATGGCGATACTTTATGAACTTCTCGAGACGCACCGGACCTCAGCCTTGGTTTTACTCGGAGTGTCGGTTTTTTTCTTTGCCCGGCAGGCGACAAAGTCCAAGGCAGGGCCTCCATTCGCAGGGACTTGGTCATCGGATTTTTTGAGCGTATATATTTATGGATGTTTTAAGTTCGTGAAATATGCTAGAAGTATGTTGGATGACGGATACTCCAAAGTAAGTATTTTGATAAGGTATGTTATGCAGGTACCAGGATACACATAATTGACTAGATTGGTTCTTAGTTCCCAGATACACCGTTCCGGGTACCGGCCCCCACAAGTACTAAGATTATAATTCCACCAAAATTTGTGAAGGAACTGAGGAACTATCCAGATTCCAAACTGAGTTTTAATGCTGCTATTTATGATGTGAGATGATATTGAGACCGTGTGGTTAAAGTAAGCAAATATGGTATATTAACATCATTAACAGATCCTGGGGCTAAAGAGAGTTGAGCTACAATCCCTAGGGGAAGATAATACTCCTCATCAGAAGATGACTAGATCACAACTTACAGCTAATCTCGGTATGACCTTTGATTTTTGGTCTATAGCAGCAATGTGTATGAGCTTGAAGCTAACTCCAAAGCCCCACAGCAAAACTAATTGCCCCAATGCTAGATGAATCTAAATACGCATTTCAAGTTGAGATTGGGTCAGCCAAAGGTAAATTACTGGTAGGTAATGATAGGTCTTATGACCCAGCTGACACCTGCAATTAACAGAATGGAAAGCCGTGCCCCTTCATTCGACTATAGTTCATATTATCGCCCGCACCTCATCTCGCGTTACCGTTGGTGAGGAAATCTGCCGCAACGAGGACTGGCTCCGCGCCTCTACGGGATTTTCAAAAGACATCTTCGACAACGCATTCTGCATGTTTCTCTTCCCCAGCTTTATGCGGCCCCTCGCAGTCTTCCTGTTACCATTTCGGCGTAGGATCCGCTGCCAAAGAATGGAGTCGCGAAAGATCCTGGGCCCAACTTACACGCAGCGACTAGCAGATACAGAGGCGGGCAAGCCGAGGGTTGAGGATGTGTTTGGTTGGATGGTAGCCAATGCACTGCCCAAACAGCGGAACATAAATGATCTGGTCGATTACCACCTAGCCCTGAGCTTAGGAGCGATCCAGGTGCCAGCGAGTACACTAGTTAGCATAATATATGATTTGGCCGCACGACCGGAATATATTGAGCCAATACGAGAGGAGATTATACAGGCCGTGACGGAGGATGGTGGGCAGATAAACATGTCAACACTGGCGAAGTTGATGAAGATGGATAGCTTCATGAAGGAATCTCAGCGGTTCAACGCCGTTTTAAGTGAGTAGTTTTCTTTCTTTCTGATTCTCCATTCAGTGTAGTAGTTATAGTAGCACTAGTAGCTGACATAGTACAAAGCCTCCTTTTCCCGAAAAGCCCTCCAGTCTTTTCACCTCTCGGATGGGACCCACATCCCCGCAGGCTCCATACTCGGAGCATCCGCAGTTTCTGTCCATTTTGACCCTAAATACTATGAGAACCCGGACGAGTTTGATGGATTCCGCTTCTACAAGATGCGACAGCAGAAGGATGCAATCAACAAGCACCTATTCGTATCTGTCTCCCCTACGGAGATCAATTTTGGATACGGGGCCCACGCTTGCCCGGGGAGGTTCTTTGTGGCTAACAAGATCAAGGTCCTGCTGGTCAGGATGTTGATGAAGTATGACTTCAAGTATCCTGAGGGTGAGAGCAGGCCAAGGAATATAACGTTGGGGGATGCAACACTGACGAATACGACGAGAAACTTGATGATGAAGGAGAGAGTAGATGCGCCCAAGTGGGACTTTTTGTGATGAACTAAAGAGGCCGGGTTTCTTTTGTTTATTCTAGACTTATAATTTCTTTTGTTTATTCTGGACTGGTAATTTCTTTTGTTAGGGATATTTAAATTTACCACATAATTATATAAACTACTTTGAAGAGAAAGTAATATGAGCCCCAAGGGTTGGTTGGAGAGGTATCGGCATGAAAAAAGAATAACGGTCGTGCGGAGTACTTTTAACAAGGGCCCGCTCATGGTAGAGTGCGCTAATCTCCTATAATATAAAATGTCAGGACGAGTAAAATTTCACAAATGCGGGTTGCTGATTGGTTTGGCTAGCTGGGTAGGAACAATGCTGAGTAGGAACAATGGTTAATTCGGCTTGGTGAGAACATACTGGATTGTTCGTATGGGTTTGTGACTATGGCCGACAATTGTGAACAAAGGCACTTCTGAAAGACGTAGTGCTAGCTGCAAAATTACTATATTATATTGGGGGGGGGGGGGTGATTCTGGTCCTATTTTGAAGTACCCGGTCATAGCTGTTGCTCGAATATTATAATAAAAATAAATAAAAAAACCCGCTCGACATCGATAATTTTACAAAACAAAACAAAAAAGTTCACAACACTGCCTAGGCCTCGGTTGCTACATCTTTTCTACGTCCGGAGGGGGGTTTGAACACTCACAAGTTCGGTACAGAGTGTGAGCTCTATACCACTGGGCCACGTCCAACCCCCATGTTCACCTTCTTTCCTTTGCTGCTGTTACCTCCATGGGGGGCTCGTACGGTATAGCATCGGATATCTCATAAGCGTGAAATTTTCATAACTTGACCCGGCCATGCGTCGTTACTCTTAACTCGCAACACAGCGAAAAACGCTGTCCACCAAAATGGTGGTGACCTATATATACATGTATATAGCTTTTGCCTACAGATCGAATCAACCCATTGATCTCACATACACCCAAGCCGATTCCTAGAGCTCGACCATGGATAGACGGTGACCAGACAAAGCGATAGCCTCTAAACTATCCCTAACCACGGGCGCTGCTATATTATAATACACATCGCCGATCGCCCACTAACCTGTAATTGTACTAGTAGCGAGAGAGGAGTCATCATATATCACTCGCCCACGCGCATGCCAAGCCCGTACCTTACATAACACCCACGGAACCAGTCTACCCTCAGTGAGCTGCGTTGCCCGCAAGGTAGTTACCCACCAAGGTTTGGGTGGACGCTCGCTGAGCTAGGGGCCGCGCCTATACTACATGTATAGTACATGTAGCTACTGATGGGTACGCAGACTGGTTGGTGAGCTATTTCGGTCTGTTTGTCGTGCATTACACCAGGCGTCGGATCTATGGAACGGACCATATATATATATAGCAAACCTACAATTAAACTCATTCCCGCTCTTTCTCTATTACTAGCGATACCGATTTTAATACATGCATCATGTGACTACCGTCTTGGTGTGAAGGCCGCTTAGGATCTTGTGAGAGTACCGCAGTAATGGGTCACATGATCTATATATTAAAATCGGCATCACTACTAGTACCGCACGTTTGCCAGGACGCGCGCACGGTTTAATTTTGTTTGGTGGTGGTCGGATCGATCTGATTGGTTGCGCAGTTGCATATATAGGAGGTGTATTACCCATACATTACGCCGGTACATGTATGTCATAACTACATGCACTGTCGTTCACGGGGTATTGGTGGATACTGGGTATTGGCGAATTGCAGGTAAAAGTTGGCTTGGCTGTCTCTTTTTTGCTCCGTCCGCCATCACCCAGTATCCGCCAATACCCCCGTGAACGACAGTACGCTGTGTGTGTGTTATGTGTGTGTGACGTGCCAGCGATCGAGTGACAACCCATGATCCGCGTCTCCTCCAAACACAACGCACAATATCCAGTGGACTTGGACCGGGCCTGTGTGTGTTTCTTTTATTTCTGTTTTTATTTTTCTATTTTTTGTTTTTCTCCTCTTGCGATTGAGGGGGTGATTTGGGTGATTTGGGACTTGGCCCATTCTATGGTGCCGCTTGGTCGAGGTGTCGTAACTTAATCTCTTTTATTACGCACCGTTCAGTAGCGTACTGCGCACATTACATGTAGTTACGGAAGAACCATCGGCCAACCTAAGCTCGTTCCCCCAACCTCTTCTGCTTCCGCGAGACTACCTACGGCCAACCATACATAAACCTACCACATGCACATAAGCACATACACACACACACACAAAATCCACACAAATAAACCTCACACATAAACATAAACATATATACACATACACACAAGACCTCAATACCTACATACCTTCAACGTCCACGATGGCACGCACGATGTGTACCACAACTAAATACAATCCTCCCTTTTCACTCCCTCCTTCTCCTTCACCTTCTCGATACCCAGCTCCTCCTCCTCCTCCTCCTCAGCTACGCCATACCAGTAGACAGGAGCAACGGCGCGCGAGGATAAGTGTTGCGGTGAAGCTTATTGAGCAGTTGGAGGTGAGGATTAGTGGCATGGAGAGAAATACAAAGGAGACGGCTGTGATATTTGAGGGTTTGCGGGAGGTGTGTATTTTTCATTCTGTTGGTTGGGGGCCGTAATTGGTTGATGAGTCGGTTGTTTGGGTTGCGGGTGCTAACGGGTGCTTTGGTGTAGAGCTTAAGCTTAACGGATACGCCGGCGACCTCGGGAGAGCGGAAAAAAGAGAAGGAGGAGGCGAAGAGTGGAGAGTGGAGAGGTGAGAGCGGTTGTCATGAGGAGAGTGAGGAAAGTGATTGCGAAGAGGGGGTGGTGAAGAAGGTGGTTGTGTTGAGAGTGTCGGTGTAGGTGCTCAGTTCAAGGGAGAGGGACTCGGTGTGTAGAGGTGGAGTGGAGGTGGAGTGGAGTGATGGCTACATGTACCTGTACACGCAGTTACAGTATACGTAGTGGGTAAACTCAATTAACGAGGTGATTGGTTTTGATGATACAAGTGGCCATGGTTAGCGTTCTGTGTGTCAATGATTTCTTATAAGGATTTATGCAGCAGCGCTAGCTAGACAGACGGCTGGGCGCTAATAAGTGCTAAACTATAAACTCTAAATTTTAGATTATCCTGGCTGTATCTGTGCCGCTACTTTTAGCATATACATACATGTATTTACAAAATGAGACCAGCTGGTAGTTTTAGAAAATCTCAAAACCAGTGTTTATAGCACCACCCAAGTACATATACTAGACCAACCCAATCCGCGCCACATACCACAAGTACTCCATAGCACCCGCTCCGTGCCTCCGAGTCGGCCCGCAACGTACCTACAAAGATACACCCAACCCGTCGCGCCGATCATAACATGGCATGCGGCGTAGCCCTACTAGCCACACACATGCATACCTCCCCACCCCCACCGGCGCCACAGCCTCTTCCTCGTACAACAGCAGGTGCCACCAGTACTACATGTACCTATCCAGGTTGAAACAATAAATATCTCAGATGCAGTGATATCCCCCCGCCGCACCGCCACTGGTGTGCGTCATCGACGATCACTCGGTAGCGATAAGCGATTCGATTCGCCCCGAGAACATGGGGGGGCTGAGGGGGCACGAACGGTTACTCCGCTACGGTATGCTACGGTACGGTACGACGCGCGCGGGTTCATGCGTTTGGGTTTTGGCTTGGGGTTGTGGTTCTTGGTAGAGGGTTAAGTGCTTTCTATTTAAAGTAGGGGTGGCGGCCGTATATAACAACCAACCGATCTCTTATTCGTTTTTGATACGCCCATATATGATCACCCATTAATTCTCAAGCGTTATGGTTATATATACTGCGAAAGAAGCTTTAATTTGACTCTACGAATTGAAAAGAACAGTAACTAGAAGAAATGTATTTCCGCATCCTCCAATGCCCCACTGCGCGCGCGCCGACGCCGCCGCATCCGTATTACTACTATCGAGATACCTCATCGTCGTCGTCGTCAACACGTGCACCATTAGAGCTACGGGGTGAGGTGCTAGAGGAAGAGAAGGCACACATGCCGTACTATGAGCACCAGTATAACAAGGAGCGGCAGCGGCAGCAGCAGCAACGGGGGAAGGAGAGGTTGAGGAGCGGGGAGGCGGCGGTGAGGAGGTTGGGGGGGAGAAGATGGCTGGTTGTGGGGTGGGAGGAGGATGCGCGGTGGGGGGCTTGATGGGGGAGAGGTTTAATGGGTTGGCGGGGTTTGGGTTTTTTTTTCTCCTTTTGGGGGGGGGGGGGGGTTCTTTGTGGGGGAGTTTTTTTATCTGGAGGGGAGTTTTAGGAGTATTTGTGTTTTTTTTTATTTATATATGTAAATGTGTTTGGAATAGAGAATGCCTACAGCTGTTCACCTCCGTTCCGTTCCGTCCTACATAGATGTAGACATGCGCTGGTTGACTGAATATCGCATCTCCATGTAAACCGCCTCTCCTATGGTATCAATCATCTGCGGGGCTCAAGGAAACAAAAGAGTGGCCAGTGCATGTAGTTGTCTCCCCCCCCCGATCCCTCGCCAGTTCAATCACGGGCCGTCACCCGTCAGTTGGGGCCGGGGACGATATCCCAGGGCAACTTGGAAGGCTATTCGACGGCTACGTGGCTGGACTCGGTTAAGCATATGTGTCCGTTTCCAGAGAGCCTACAAAACTACGCTGCGGTAGCCATTTGATCGAATCATCATCATCACCGTAATCATCATAATCTTCATCACTCCAACATTCATTCCCGCATCGACAAAGACTTCCGATAGCACATACACCAGTAGTCTGGAAACGTCAACATCCTGTGATTTCACAAATATAAGCCTAATGATTGATACTCTCTTTCTTACAGCGCAAAATAAGGACATCCTCAGTACTTCGTTCCCAGCAATTTGATACCTGGTGCCTCTAGGGTTAGGGTTTGTCAGTAGCCACCACTCACGGTGAAGCAGCCATTATGTTCTCTCTAGAAACCCCCCAAAACTGCTTTTACCTCGATTCCGCGATATTCTGCTGAAATTGAGCGAGTTCTAGCTGTGTTTCTCTATCCCCAGACCTGCGTTTGTTATCGGTTGCCCCAGGGCTTTACGCGTTACAGCAAGCGCGTCGAAATCAATTTGCGGCACCCCCGAACACGTCTCCCCAACTCAAACCTCCACGCCCGCAATCGCTCAATCCTCACCTCCGCCCACAACCTCACGATACCCACGATACAGCACCTATACCACAAACCCATAAATATAAACACAGCAATGGACGAAGATCTCACCTCCCACTTCGGCCCCCTCCCCGCCGACGTCGCCCCCGAGCTGCAAGCCATGCTACCCCTCCACAACATCAGCGCCGAAGAGCTCTTCTACAAATGGGAGTCCTACTGCATGAAGATGGGCCCCGACACCCGGCCCACCCCCGACACCGTCGCCGCCTTCCGCAAAGATGTGCGCGACCAGCTCGAGAAGGAGGTGCGCGCCCGCAGCCGCACCCAGCAGCACCAGACACCCGCGCGCCGGAAGCCTACCGTCCCCGCAGGCGGTGCTGACTGGATGATAGATGAGCTGACCCCCAGCGTCAAGCGCAAGTTTGACAAAGGGTACGAGACGCCTGTGAAGGCATCGCGAGGGCCCGGTGGTGCCCCTGTGAAGGGGGGGGCGCCGTCGTTGTTTGCGGCGAGGGCGAATGCGGGGGAGGTGGTGGAGGTGCTGAACGAGCATCTTCCGCGGCCGGCGATGCCGCAGCCGGGGGTGGAGGGCGGGTGGGAGGCGCGGGTAAAGCTGGTGGCGAATGTGGATATCAAGCGGTTTGGGTTCCGCACGATGCACCAGAAGCTGACGGAGGCGTCGGAGGTGATGGACGACCGCATCGACGAGATGATGACCGCGGTGCAGGAGCGCCACGGGCTTGCCGACGAGCAGTTTGGGAACCCGTCGACGGCGTCACCGGCGGAGGTCGTGGCCGTCGGCCGCATTGTCTCGGACTCCCTCGACGGAAAACTCAACGCCGCGTCAGTCCTCCTCGAGGCATCCCGGAGAATGGGTGCCGGTGCGAGAGTTCCGCTCAAGCTCGACGCCGTCAAAAGCTTCTCCTTCTTCCCCGGCCAGATTGTGGCAGTGCGCGGCGTCAATGCCAGCGGTGCCTACTTTGCCGTCACGGAGATCCTCGACATCCCGCCGCTCCCGCTCCCTGCGTCTACCGCCGAGACACTGGCCGAGTCTGCCTCGCGCCTGGCTGGCGCCCCGTTGTCCGTCGTGGTGGCGTCCGGCCCATACACGACAGAGGACAACCTCGACTTCGAAGCGCTCGATGAGCTCTGCGAGCGAGCGGCGCGCGAGCGCCCTGACGTTGTGATCCTCACAGGCCCGTTTATAGACTCTGAGCACCCGCTCGTCAAGGTCGGCGACTTTGAGCTGGAGCGCGAGCGAGGCACGCCAATCGCAGACCTGTTCCGCGAGCGCGTGAGTGCAAAGATCCGAAAGATCGATAACAGCATGGTGATCCTTGTGCCGGCCGTGACCGATGCCATCAGCCCACACGTTGCGTATCCGCAGGACGCCATAAAGAAGCGCTCCCTCGAGCTGCCCACTGTATGCCGCCCACTCGAGTGATCCCCCATGATGCACAGCTGACAGAAGACAGAACGTGAAGACGCTCCCCAACCCCGCCACCTTCTCGCTCAACGAGGTGGTCTTCGCCGTATCCACGCCCGATATCCTGCTACACCTGTCGTCCGCCGAGTGCCGGCACAACCCGCCGGAGCCACACCCTATCGCACGGCTGTCGCGGTCGCTCATGGCGCAGCGCAACTACTATCCGCTGTTCCCCGCGGCGCCGGGGGTGAATGTGGATGTACCGTATTGCAGGCTGGCGGACTTTGTCGCCGCGTGTCCGGATGTATTGGTGCTGCCAAGTGTGTTGGCGCCGACGGCGAAGGTGGTCGAGGGCGTGGTTGTGCTGAATGCTGGGGCGGCGAGTAAGAGACGGGGGCAGGGAATTGGGTGAGGTTGTGGGTGGGGCCTGGGCGGGAGGAGAGGGGGAGGGCGGGGAGATGAGGGGGCATAGGGTGTTCGAGAGGGCGAGGGTGGAGGTGGTGAGGGTTTAGATAGGGAGGTTAAAGGGCTTCTTTTTTTTCTTTTCGTGTTTTTTTGTATTTTTTGTTTTTGTTTTGGGATAGTTTAGAGAGAGTGGGTAATGATACCATGCGTGGCCGTGGTGAATAGTAGTTTTCTTTCTCTTCTTTCCGTTTCTCATGGTGATGATGCATTAGATACATATGATGCTAGAATTAATAGGTTGTAATTCTAAGCATAGCTTCTCATCCACTAGTCCGGTCCGACCTCAACCAATGTAGTGCAGTCTACACGACTAGGCCAGCTAGGTGCAAGTTTAAGTGTAAGTGTAGTTACAATCCCTCTTTCCATTTTCTCCCTTTTCTATTTCTATTTCGCAATGCCCCGAAGACGACATGTGGTAGATTGACAGCTTGGGGCTAAGTGTCCCCAGAACATACTCTTTTGTCATTTCTGGAACTTATTGGGCCCCTCCTCGTGTGGTTACATAGATGTATGGCCATCCGGCCCGCCGGGGGGGGGGGGGGTCAATGATTGGATTTACCGGAAAACTGGCTGGCTACCCTCCCGTCCCCTTTTGGCTCTGTGTATGCTTTGGCTGTGGGAAGTGTTAATCTAGGTTTCTTTGTGCGTGGTAGGTAGGTAGGTGCTTAGGTATGGAGCTCCGGGTCTGGGTGCTGAGTTTACGGGGTGGTCGGGGTGGTCGAGTGATGGGCTGTGATACGGCGGCATATAATGTAGGTTTGAGAGACTTGGCGATAGTGACTTATTTATTTAAAAAAAAAGTAACGTAGACCCGAATATCCGTATCGATACAATCAATACTGGCCCCAAGTGACTAAAGCTCGCGGGGGATCTGAACTAATCACTTGTATTTTAGTGATGGGGCACAAGACAAAAAAGTCTCCCGATCAGACACGAGGCCGCAAAACAAAAACATAGTAGCCGGAAATTAAGAGAGAAGACAAAAAACAAGACAAAACAGACAGAAAAAGTCTAGTCTCGAGGCCTTTTTTTTCGAAACTTACGAGTGATCGTCTATGATCTCCATATCAGCTTTAAAAAATCTAGTTTCGATAGCTCCCCCCCGGGGCCATTCTATGTAAAAGGGGACCGTTGTGAGGTAAACTGGTGCGGAGGTTTGGCCAGATAACCCTAAACCTAAGTCTCGAGTCTTTGCGTGATACATGGCTCAAGTGTTGCCAATTCCGAGACCACCTTCTATAATCCACAAGAAAAGACAAAGCGTACTCAAGTATCGTCTTGTTTTGTCTTGTGCCCATCACTAACTTGTATTTTATAATAGACAGGGGCAGCCGGAACACTGAAACAGAACGGGCTGTAAAGTACTACATGCAGATTAATGCGCGCGGCGCGAGTCCTTATGATAGAATGCGCCGATAGGCCACATCCCACCCAAGCCTTGATATGTGTTACCGAGTAACATGGAGAAATGTAACCCTTAGAGCTCCACGCGCAACCATAACCGAACATTACCGCACGCTTGATATTGAGAATATATAATACTACAACAGACGGCTCACAGGTTGTTTTATCAATAAATAAATTATCAATGATCATCATTAAATTGTTTCATGATGAATCACTCGATCTATGATCGGCGGGTCGAGTGATGGCTGGTGAAGCGCTGGCCCAACCGCCATCTCAGTAAGCAGTTGTAGAAATAGAGTCGTATAATTATATCACCTTTTGACAATGAAGGGGGATATAGAGTGATATATCTTCTCAATAAAGATTTTATCAGAACAGTTCCAACCATAACTATCACCCATGTGCTTTCACTTTATCCAATTTGTTCAGCTAGCATATCAAACCCCAACAATTCCCATAAAGCGTTCGAAAATGCCGAATCAGTTACCGTGATATTCTTACTGGGTTGTTTGGTTTCCAAGCTCTCCCAAAACCCTTCTCGGTCATCTTTTTTTCGTTTTCCCTTCTCTTTTCTTTCTCCCCCATCTTCCCTTACAGCCACATTACTTGTTCCACAAAAGATTCCGTCGATCAAGATGAATTTCAATCTCTCCATCGCCTGTCTCTCTAGCTTTCTTTCCTCCGGCTCTATGGTGTGGTTTTTAACCTTTAGTACCGCCTGAAATACTCTCAAGAAATACCACGATGTCTCCTCTACTGCAAGCCTCTGGACCATCATATCCTCGTTGGCTTCATCCAAGTAGGATAAATCTGGTTGTGATAAAGTACCATTTATTATTTCTAAGAAGCGATAGAATAGTCCTTCTAGTATATCTCTCTGATATGTTTTCCCCGCACTCAGAGTCTTTAGGAGCCGAACCAGAATAGTTGTTAGTTCTAAACGAATGTCCCTTGTCGCCGGTTTGTCTGTTGGGTATAATCCCTCAGATAAAAGCCTTCGGGTAGTCTTATAGATTAGCGAAAGGATTCCGACTAGCATTTGGATAACACTGCCAATCCCGGAGGCTAGGAACTCTTTGTTTCTAGTATTGATTGTTTTGCCTCCCTCCTCAATTAAATAACCTAAAGACGAAATGGCCTTGTCACAGGTCTTTCCGACAATTTTTGAAATATCTTCAATCTCCTGTGACTCCTTGGTCCCATATGTGAGCTCGGCTGGAGAGATTGCTTTTGTAAGTTTCCCGTCAATGAAATCTTGTACCACGTCATACAGAGCTTGTGATGTTTGCTCGATAGATCTAGGTACTAAGTGCGGCTCTCTAGCAAATTGCAGTAGATACAGGGACGATATGAGTTTGGAAATCGCCGCTTGGATAAGAATAGGGGTTAGATGATGCATGCAGGAACAAACATATCATGCGGTTGGACATGCACAGGGCAAACACTTACATCCAGAAAACCGCACAAAATCCCCTCCTTCGGGAAGAATATTCTGTGATGGATCTTGCAGTATCTTGCTTGTCCCAGATTGATTCTCCACAGGTTTCGCAATATTTCCTGCAGATACGCTTTTCCTCTTATTTACCGCCTTTCCCTTTCTCTTTACCAAGCCTGCTTCATGTGACACAGATTCATTCGCCTTCGACAAGGCAACAATCTTCTCTGTTAGTTCGTTGACCTTCGCTTGCAGCTCATGGACCCTGTCGGCATCCGCCTCAGATCTTTCCCGCCAGAGCCTGCAAGCCTTGATATGCCGTTGCTCTGAAGCCGGATCTAGGGCCCGTTCTCCGGAGAAAGTGTGCGAGCGGAGCAGATCAATAAATTCTCTGATAGAAAGGGATGGTGGCTTTGTTTGAAGAAGTTTGATTGCCAGTGCTATTCGGGCAGGGGAATCAAGGCGGGAGGGCTTGGATGAGATGCTAAGAGGGGTAGTAGGGGGCGTTGTTGATGACATTGTTGGATGAGGTTGCGAGTCGGGATGCGAAGTGATATCTCAAAAGTTGACATGTCGACACGCAGCCGATTATGCAGGGAAGGTGCACACAAAAGCAAAACATTAAAATCGATGCGGCCCGCGCTTGGGTTTTGATCCGGGAAAGAGAGGGAAAAATACTAATGAGGACATATATGCCACTTAAAGACATATGGTGCGCCCACTCCTAAAGGTGACAAAAATCGGGCGAAAAGTCAAAGGCTTATAACTTTGCCAAAAAAGAGATTTAAAAAAATCGGTAAATAAAAAGTGTAGTACTAGTGATGAACTTTAGCTTTTATTTCCAGATTTTTGATATCTACTTTAGTTAAAAAGTTATAAGAGTTTGAAGTTGCGGATTTTTGTATGTAAAAGGCGCCAAGACTAAGCAAAGTGGAACAGTATTATACCCATTTATACCTCCTCAAATGTGGAATGCAGCAAAGTGGCTAGGAATAAGCCCTCTCATTGGCCTTGGAGTTCATCTTGCAGCCACGATTGTTCCACTTCCAGATACCGCCGTGTCACCTTTAAGAGTGTGCGCACCATACATGTCGCAATATATAGCAGTATGTCAATATCAAGGAATATATTAAGACTGGACTCGCAAGAAGAACATTTCCCGGGAGGAGTTATATTACCAACAATTTTTTACTTGTTGTCTTCGAGAATTAATTACAACATAATTATATAAGTCAATTCCTCACTCAGGATGCCGATATAGCAGGGCAACTATCGTAGGCATATTAGCTTACGAGTCCTATGGAGAGTGCAGATCTCCCGGGCCCTAAACGTCCATTCTCCCCGGTGTCTCGTCAGCCTTGATTGACTACACCCCGCACCCCGCACTGCACACTGACAAGGAGCCCAGCCGAGTGACCCACCATGAGCCATGACCATGGCAATACACGTTTCAGATACATACATGTACATGTAGATAAGAACGGCATGGAACACACACCTACATGGTACTGCCATGCAAGCGGTCAAACCGATAACGTCCAACTGGTTTCATCTGTGCCTCTCAATCAGCGAAGCGATAGAAGCTTGATTCTAAAGACGTTTCTGTCAAGGTTATGATGTATGTAATTAACCCCCGTCTTGCCGGCCATTATGAATCTGCCTACTAATATGCAGTCAACCGTAATAACTACAACCGTCTTTTCGTCATCATTCGATGTTTGCTTTATGTATCGAGAAATTTCTGCCGCAGTGAACGGCAAGGTTGAAAAAAAAGTGTTCATCTCTTCATCTGCATCCGGATGATAAGATGGAAAGCCCAAATCCGTCGAACTTTTGCGGTTCAGGGGTATTGAATATCATGGACCATGTCTCATCTTGAAGGTGCGCACTACTCACGAGGGCAAGGCTGAGCCCAGGTGGGAACTCGTGGGATGGAAATTCAACCGGTATCGTAGCTCTACTCCACATGTCTGCTCAAGTATCGCGTGCACGCCAACATGTAAGTGATCTTGTAGTTGAAGTGACAGGCTCGGTACACACATCCGACTATGCTTAACAAGTCCCCCCTTTAACTTTTGCATCTTGAGGATACTATCGGAGCCACATCGAGCCGTAACCCACATATCGCGGAGTGCAGCAGCTGCAGTCAGGGTTTACATACATGTCTTTTGTTCTCGCCACGTGCGGGCCAAAAAAACTCCGGGGGAAAACAGTTCCCGGATGAAGCCTGCCTGCTTAGGGGCTGTGCCTCGCCTTTATCTGATGTTAAGCGAGCTACCTGTCTGAAGGAGGTGAGAGATGCCGGGGATCGAATTGGATTGTTCGATTCGTTCGATTGACATTGACTGAATCCAGAGACCATACACTCTAGACTCTAGGTACATACTCTGCAATATGTACTACCTACTAGTAGAACGCCCTGTGGAACTACCCAGAAAATCATACGATATATATTCTAATCCATCACTACCACGTATTCATGGCCTTTTCTGGGAGGTTTTTTCCTTTCATTCGTTGATACCTAGCTAGTACAGTGAAGACGTGCTTATTAGCCGGAAGTCCATATCAATCAATAATTACCTACTCAACTTAGCGCTTCTATGCAGGGGGTAACACGTGCATTATTGCAAGGCATGGTATTGCAAATGAATGAAACGAAACAAACAAATCTTCATGCAATACACCCCAGATATTATATGCAGGTCCAGGACAATTTGCAATTGAGAGAAGTCGACTTATTTTTTCCTATGATACGGTCGTATGTACGGCGGCAGCCCGTCATCGATAACCGCGTCTTATGATGGGACGACCACTGGCGGCTGAAACTTACCGTTTTGAATTTTCTAGTAATTGCTATGTAGTACAACTACTGAAGTTTTCATCTCCGACATTTTTACTGTGCAATTTTAGCTCCTTGGAATCTAGTTATCGGGCAACACCCAGATCTAGAATATTCGATTGCCCATCTCCAGACTACATACTTTAATATCATTTTTGGGGTTCTTGTGACAGTCGGAGCAGGAGAGAAAAAAATAGCTTTTTTTTAATAGGCTTCATCGTCGCCGTGCATTAGTTATAGCTCAGGCAACGGGGGCGTTATATCAAAACGGAAGGTTATAAGTATGTTCTCGCATCTTCATAATAAATTACTGCATTCACTTGGTGATTAATCCGATATGTAATTGCATTCTTGGTTAAGCAAAGAAACGTGATTTCTCTTACCTAACATGCAAAAACTTCAGAACTTGAGCGACATTCCCCATGACGATCTTCAGGAACGTCTCCTATTGTTAACTATTCACTTAAGCTTCAATGATTTACAATGTTTGGCATTGTTTTGGTCGCTACAACGCTCGGGTGATGTCCGGTTGGTGCGCTTGATATTCCCATGTAATAATATCGCGTTAACGCACTCCAAACTATCCCCGACACCGACAACCCGATTTCAAATCGCCTGTGAGACAGTGATTAGACGTTAATTTTTTTTTCTAGAAGCTGACTATGGACCATAGGATGGCAGTGGCAATGGCAGTACATTATTATGTATGTCTTGTTTTGTTTTATTTTGTGGTGGAGAAACAGCGCTAAACATGTAGACTGCAGCACCGTTTGAATGGTGATGTGTGGAAAAATGGCTCCGCAAGAAATGTAGAGTATCAGAACAATTCACAAGACCCCCCGAGAGAAGCGAGGACTGTGCGGTGGTGCACTGGAGGCTTTACTTAGAAGTTAGGGGCACCTGCCAAGAAACCGGGGGGCCACGAGAGAGGCGGTGTTATTAACCAGAGAGGCTCAAGAGTTAATGGAACGTCTGAGTGGGGATTCGCCAAAGCTGGTGGACCGTGATGTGCCCAAATTTAACTGATAATAAAGGCAATCCTATTGATAAGATGGTATCTGCTACTTTCGATCTAAGCATCATGAATGCTGATGTTTTATTGGACAGCTATCGCCAGATATATCAGAGGTGCAAATGATCAAAGTGCAAGTCAGGTACGGTAGATAGTTCGCTGCCCGGGTGGTGCTGCAGCTAGCGGTTGGGTTTTGTGCAGGCTTGCCGCCCTGCGTCTGCTGCACCTCGCCAAAAGGTCTTCTACCACCCCCCACCCAATCAGGTTCAGGCATCTCCTTCGCATTTTGTTCCTGTTTGGCATCCCTGACTGCTCCCAGCCGTTCGGAATAGGTATCCAAACAGTAGTCTGAATGTTGTAGATAGTGTGTCGCTGGGGTTCATCAGCATCATCGTCCATCATCCCTCATCCCTTTTTTCTTTTTTGTCCCTCTTTTTGACTGTCTGTTACTCCCTGAAATTCACTGTGAGTAAGTCTGGAGCTCTCACAAAGCTTTGTCTGTTCCCGCGTGTCTCTGCACAATACCGAAAGTCCCCCTTTTAGGTACTGGCTCTTCTCTCCGGCCAATTGAGAGAGAAAAAAAAAGTGACAGGGTCATCGTCGGCCAGCTAGGCGGAAGAGACTGTTGTGAAAATTCTCATTGTCAGATCTCCTTCGGCACCTGTCTTCGCTCGCTCTTACATACACTCACTTCCCCCTCCCCGACATCGTGTGCCCGCGGTGGCTTCCCTGTTGACATATTATCGAAACGAAATCCCCACCCCTCCCGTGGTTGTAGTGGCTACTACTTGGGCACGCCAAAACCAACCAAATTCTACCCCTGAGGTGATCCCAGGGCAGCAGGAGCATAAGCATAGACTTATTACGACCAACCTACGGGAACAGTTATATACATCCATTCCGCTCGTTTCATCGCCCATCCAGTAGCTTTACTATACCAGAGAGAGCGGCATCATGTCGCTCAACGGATTGGATACGCCTGAATTGACAGAGGCATTTGCAAAAGCATGCGCAGAGCCTGGAAGCTGGTACGTCAACTGTTTTTTCTTTCTTTCATTTCAATATATATCTTTCTCAACCCTGGCTTGATAATGGTCAATCATTCTTTGGAGGGGAAAAATGCCTTTCGGTGGAACCCGTCTACAGCTCTTTTGCTGACAGGTATTGTGCTCACTTTGTAGGTTTTGGATTAAATACACCTCCCGAGACGATGTTGAGCTTCTGTGTCAGGGAACCAATGGAGCGGAGGAGATGCGAGAAGCAGCAGAGAAGGAGCCAGATGATTCGCCGTTGTATGGATTTATTCGATTCAGGCGACGAAATATCTTGATCAAGTATATCCCGGAGGGAACTTCGCGGGTTTTGAAAGGTAAGTCGCTACAAATTAAAAAAAAAAAAATCAAAAAAAAAAAATTCATTCTCCGTTTGCGGAATAATAACATTCCTTAATCTTCACAGCTCGATCGCAGGTGCATTTTCAATCCGTTGCTGAAAGGTTCATTCCAAACGACACTACATTCTCAATATCGACTCCTAAAGAGCTACGCGACAATGCATTGACGTCAGCATGCTCAACGCATACTGCAACTGCTTCGATATCTTCTTCGAATAGTTCTCTTCGAGCGCGTCGTTTAACGGATATTGCCGAATCTGCAGATGAGGAGGAGCCGCCTACAGCTGTAATGAGTGCTGGTTCGCCGGTGACATTCGGTGAGATCGATGGAAAAGGGAAGAATAGTCAAGGCTTGGCGGTGGTGATTACCGCACATGATTCGTCAATAACAGATGGCGGACCTGGCTCACCCGTCTTTCTCGATGGGGACAGGGATCTCTTGGGGTCCCCCCTAAGCGCCTCCTTTTCGAGAGACTCACTTGAACCCAGAAGAAAGTCAACAGGTACCTCACCCAGACCTTCTTCAACCGATTTATACGGACCGTACATATACACCCCTAGAGAAAAGGTTCGACTTGGACCTCGTCCCCACGTCGAGCCCGTAAAACGGCCTCATACCTCTGGTGAGCGTCCGAAAGCCTTCCCTAGCCCCGACCAGGAAATTCGACCCGTGGTCTCGGTTCCTAAATCTGTTCAAATTCCTCCAAGAAAATCCAAAGAATCAAGGAATAGGTCCTTGTCCAACGAATCTCTACGATCAGAGCAAGATACAATCTCATTCCTCTCAATTGAGATTGAGGACTCACCACCTCCTTCACCAAAATCACTCTCGCCGGTTCCCTCACAAGAGCCTGCCCTTACTCCTGAAAAGCAGAGGTTGATGAGAGCTTTGCAGCTGAGGAGAAAAACAATGCAACCTGAACTGAAAGAGCAATCGAGGCGGGATGAGGAAGCCGCCCTAGAGATCCAAGGTATGAAGGAGTCAGACGAAATTAGCACCATTGCAGAAACTGACGAGGATGAAGACCGAGAGGAAGGGGAAAATGGGATTGTATCCCAGAAGATAGTCGAGCCAGATTCAAACGAATCTATCGGAGGGCAAGAGGGGGCAGATGTGCTCGAGGAAAGTTCCTGTGGAGACGCGGTGAGTGAAGGGGTAACACTGGATAGGGGAAACGAGCAGACAGAAACGGGAGATGCAACGGAGGACTTGAGGGAGCAGGATGATAAACTACCGGAATCACCAGTAGAACTACAATCTCCCGAGAGCACAAAGGTTCGAGGCGAGCCTGATTCCGACGTTGACACCGAATCCGATCACACCGAAATTTCCATCATGACGGATTCTAGACCCGTAACTATGACAGCTATTCAGCAACCTATCCCTAGCATGATTAAAAGCAGTTCTCGCTCACACCCGACCAAACCCCCGTCACCAGATCCTTTGGCATCAAAGGTGCTCAAAAGAACTGATCGTCCAATTGAAAGCGAGCCCGTAAACGAGCCCCCTGTTCCTGAGGCAGCCCGTTCTGTTTCTGCACCTTTCTTAAAACCGACAGCTCCAGCAGCTGGACCCAGAAAAGCTGTAGGCGGTGGGGGTGGAGGTGTGGCACAACGGATTCGACAGCTCGAGATGCTGTCAGTTCAAAAAGCTGCCGCGGCAGCAGGAAAATCACCCCCTGTGAGCCGAGGCGGCTCCCCGACACCACCGATTCCGCAGTATCACCCAAACCGTCCGTCTAGTGTACATGTCCCAGTCGCGTTGCGTAGGATGTCTAACCCCCCTGCTCCTTTGCGGCCAACATCATCGGTATCGCGTCCATCCACTCCCAATACTTCTGTCTCAACTCTTGGGAACTCCTCTGGGAGTTTCACGTCCTCGTTACGATCAGTTATATCAACGCCTTCACTTCCGAAATCAAGCCCGCCAAAATCAAGCCCAGCTCCCAGGATGGAGATAATTGAACGCAATAACAGGCCCGAATTGCAAGTCACAACTCAAATTACCAGAGACGAGCAAGGAACTCCTCATCCATCATCCCAACCACCTCCGGCTCCAATTCCGGCTCCTGAGTCAGCCAAAAGCTTGAAAAGCCCCAATAGCTTCAGCCGGAGATCCAGCGTGGATATAACACCACAAGATCCAGTTCTGCGTAGCAGGAGTGTAGACGTAGCTCCCCCTCCAACAACAGCTTCTAGAGGTCAAAGTATCGACAGGGGTAGGGGTATTTTATCTAGATCATCAAGTTCAAGAGACTTGGAAAATCTCTCCGAGAAGATTCCCACACCCAGTTCTAGCCCTAAGCCCACACCTACCTCCCCAAGACCACCATCAACATACACGAACAGCTCGAAGAAGAGTAAGAAAGAAAAGGAAAGGCGTGGATCTTCTTCCAGCTCTGGGGGATCAGGGCCGTCTAAGGAAAAATCTAGATCCAAGTCGAAATCTCCGACAACCCCCAAGTCACCAAAGAGTCCTGGATTTTTGCAGAAAATGAGTGCGGCTTTAACAGGCAAGAAATCAAAGGAAGATGTACAAGCCCCCGCTCCTGTAGCCCCTGCCGAGCCTGCGAAAAAGTCATACCTTTTGGCTGGTTGGATAAATGCTCAACTTCCGGATACCATGTTATGGAGGCGGCGATGTTTGAAGATAGATTCAAGTGGTTGGCTGTTCTTGTCTTTATCAGAAGATGAGGTATGATTCCTTTTTATTCCCTTGAATTTGAGATTCCTCTGACGTATGAAATAGAATGCGCCACAAACTAAAAGATATCACATATCTACGGAGGTTCGATCGGTTGATTTACCAGATATGGATGAGCAAGAACTCCCCCACAGTGTGAGGCTTCATCTCTTTGAAGGCGGGACTCTGCAATGTGCTTGTCAGAACGCCAATGAGCAGAAAGAAGTATTGGGAGTGATTCGTGGTTGCATTGCATAGATGGCTTGCCCACTCTTCATTTCATCTCATTCTCTAGCATCCAGAGTTATTCGTTTACATACACTGTTTTAGTTTTGCGGTCTTTTCTCGATAAATTTCAACCTTGTATTGCCAATACTTGTGGCTGCAAAAGAAACTGAATATTACAGACGATACTTAATGCTTCCCTTTCTAAAAAAAATATCTAGTATACTTTTCGTTATCACTCTTTCAGCTATGTTCTCGTTATACTCATTGTCACAATCGTGCCGGCTTTTTTTTATTATCATTTAAAGATTCGTTATAAGGCAGGAGCCGTTGGGCATTTGTGCTCGCGGTTAGAAGGGTTGGGGCAATCACCTCCCCCTTTCCTTTATTCACTCTGCAATGCACCTATATCAGGGGTGCAGTTTTTCATTTTGCCGTGGATTCGGGTTTATTCTTTTATTATTCTTTTTACAACTCTAGATCTACCTACTAGTTAGTGTGTTTTTATTCTGTCTTCACTTCCTGTTTACTATGTTAATACCCCCGATTACCTCCCCATACACCCCTCCCCGGAGATGTCTTGCTATACTGCATTGTTTGTTTTCTTTGCTTATTAGTTCGGTTGTGTGCTTGATATTCCCCTTCGGTAGAAGATACCACACCCGTTTCCTCCACTCTACCGTCACGGATGGCTTGTGAGTAGGAGTTGGGCAGCGCGATTTGATAATCGCAAGTTTTTTTGTCTTCGAGCGAATAAATAACCTTTGTTCGACCTAACTTTCCGTTGTGATTCGAACCATGTGCAAACCTGGTTCCGTTGTAAATAAGCCTTGGCGGTCTCTATTCAGGGTCCGTTCAGGGTCCATTCAGGGTCCAAGTCGCACAAACCTTAAATCCACGTGCAACGAAGTATCCACAGTCTCCATCATTAAACGCAACTTCTAAATGGCAACCTTAGGGCTCCCCCCAACTGCTACTCCAGGCCAGCCATTAGCCCCATCAAGCCGTTATATTCCTGGCACTGGCGTGCACATCTTTCACTACGAAGTATGTGCATCTATCGTTGGAATCCCGCAGCTATCCCCTAGCTCACCTTCAGGACTTGAACAAATCTTGTCTGTTCTTCCCTGCACCGATTCCACAAACAAAAACGGGATTCTTCCACAAGTGGGGGCTATAGTTTTGGGAAAGGTGACGAGGATAACCCACATTGAAGCTACATTGGCTATTTTTGTTGTGGGCGAAGTAGTCTGCACTGATGAGTTTAAAGGTATTATCAGGTTTGTTGCAGACGTCTATAAGCTATGAGTTAGATAAGCATTAAAAGCTAATGTAATGTTCGAGAACGTAGAAGGGAAGATGTACGAGCTTTCTTGAAAGATAAAGCCAAGATCCTTTCCAGCTTTAAGCCTGGCGACATTGTTCGCGCTCGGATTGTAAGTGATATCCTGTCCTATAATTTTCCTAAGTAAATCACCTAATTATGTAATTATCTGTAGATATCACTTGGTGATCAGTCAAAATACTTTCTCTCAACTGCAAGCAATGATCTTGGTGTTATCGTCGCACATTCGGGTATGAAACATAGGCTTCGATTCCCTCGAGCCCAATATCATCATGTGTCTAACTTTATTAGAATCTGGCGATCCACTAAACCCGTTAAGCTGGCATGAAATGGTCTCACAATCGACGGACATGATAGAAGAACGAAAAGTTGCAAAACCGATGTGACACTAAATACATCCATTCATTAGTTTTACTTGAGATCTGTCATTGGGTGGGGAAGGGAGGGGGGAAGGGGAGGTGAGAGTTGGCCGTCTTCAAAAAAAGGAAAACAGCGTTTAAATTAGGTCTTCTAAAATACAAAAATCAATGGAACCCCATTCTCGTCATTATGATGAAACCTACACAAGTAGCCATGTATCTTGCATGTGTCTGGGCCTCGAATCTTTAATCTCCTAATTTTGAACACGAGTGAATTAGCTTATAGAGGAGTAGATCTACATACATCTTAGGAATACTATAACCTCTCGGTAAATGATAGATCTCGGGTCCTGCAGTTTTAGAATCACGATTAAGAGTCGCCCAATTGGCGCTTAATTAATCGCTCAATCAACTAAGATCTGTTTCTAACTACATGTAGCAATGCGCACGTTGTTATTTGCGCACGTCATATGACTGAACCACCGTTGTAGAAGATTATCTTTGCCGTGAACGAACGGCTCACTGTACTTCAAGATATCGATACACCAGTATTACCGTATTGTTGAAACTCCGCACATATATATTGTCATATTTTCTATGTAGTTATGCCGGCGTCACGATCGGCCTGTTGCTCACTACATGTACCTTCTCTCTGTGTGCGGAGCATAAGCCCCAAAACCCCCACATCACTGCAGTGCAAGCGGCTATGCGCAGTTTTATATAGCGTACTCCAGCATGCGCATTAATCTTGTTTTTCACAAATACATGTGTAACGTGCATATAACATGCGCAGCCCTTTCTTTTTTTTTTTTTTTTTTGTTTAATTCATCGCAGCCCTTTCTTATATTTTATGTGAGAAATAAAAGATCCGGGCCGCAGAGAGTTCTTACTTTGCTATTCAAAAGTTTTAATTCCTAGTATAGTAATAGGCCCTATTATATGCCTAAAAGTGTACTTTGAAAAGCTGAAAAGTGATTTATACAGAGGTAAACTCTATAGAACGTATGCGAGCGGGGTTTGTATATCCTCCGGGGACGTGTGGAGTGGACATGGTGCTTTGAGGGCGGTTTATCAGTAAATTAAAGCGGAGATAAAGACGGATGGGGGGTTATTTTTACCTGTCTGTGGTAGTTGTAGATACGTTGTTGGATGAGAGAGAAGGGAGGAAGGGAGAAGGTCGTTGGTCAGGCGGTGTGGTGGTAGCGGAACACGTAGAACATCTAGCCAGATTGCCAACTCAGAGAGGGGGGCTAGTTTTGAATTTTGTTTCATTTTTGTTTCTGTGTGTAAGCTCGTTTAATTGTCAACACATGAACGCAATATAATACCAATTGATGAGTTTTTAGCCATGAATGACGTAGTACGGTATCGCCGTATAACGGCATGATAATTCAGTCTCGATGAGCGAACCAGCAATTACAAATAGTTCTCGCACATATATCCTAGTCACCTTTGATTCAGTATTTCTCACATGAAGAGCCTGCTTCGCCTGATGCGTACGAGCGCTGTACTAGCTCACACCACAAAGCTGAAGTCTCGACACCATATATTTCGACCATTTGACATAAATAAGTGCAGTATCTCACTACATATAATTATAAAAACCAAATCCTTTACAATCATACCATTGACATTAGCGTTGTCTAGTAGAATGCACATGCCAGATCATCGAAGCTCATCAAAACGACATTCCCATCCACACAAGCCTAACACCCGCCTTTGTAATATCTGCCCTAATTATGATACTTGGGATAACCCCGGACACGCAACTACAATAGCAACTCCTGAAACTTCGGAGATGGAGAATTGGGTCAGAGTACAAGACCTCGGCGAAGGTTCGTATGGAGTAGTATGGCTAGAGAAGAAAGGGCAAGAGGCGGTTCGGGCCGTGAAGAAAGTCTCCAAAGCGAATATTATCCTCAACCAACGAGAGCTATATGCCTTGAAAGAGCTGAAAGAGGTAAACATTGATTGCTATATTATACCTGTTGACGTAAAAAAATTATACGCTAATGCATACACCATTTAATAGTACCCCGAATACTTTGTAGAGCTATTGGGATCGTCTGAAGACCAAAATAGCGTCTACTTAGTGATGGAATATATCGAGAACGGCGACCTCATGGGCGTCGTTAAGAACCGCCAAGGCACCGACAGAATCTCCGAGAACGAAATAAAATCGATTACATGGCAACTACTTACTGCTTTAGAAATTATGCACAGTAAAAACTTTTGTCATCGTGATCTAAAGCCTCAGGTAACACATCTCTCTCTGCAGAATACTTCCTCTACTCATGTAGAAGTAATTAAGATTTGGATTATATAGAATATCTTGGTGGCCTCGACATCACCCATTAGAGTAAAAATCGCCGATTTTGGCGTTACGAAGCAAGCTTCGGATAGTACCCAGCTACGAACGGTAGTGGGAACATGGGGTTACATGGCCCCTGAGGTCCTAGGCTTTTCTGATGCCGAGACCTCTGGGTACACGAGCTCTGCAGATATCTGGTCACTTGGGTCTTTACTTCACTTCATGTTTACCAACGAAGTCCCGTTTCCAGACAATCGAAAACTGATCAATTACGTCCGGGAGAATAACGCACCCTTTCCAACAGAAAAATTACAAAGGGGAGGTGCGAGCTTGGCTGCAAGAGATTTTATTAAAAGCTTGATGAGCCCCTTCCCGGAGAAAAGGTTGACCGCGAAGCAAGCATTAGAAGCGCCATGGCTAAAAATTGATGAACCTGACCAGATCAGTCCGGATCCAGTTTTAGAAAGTTCCTTACCAAATGATCCCGAGCTTACGGTCAGCCTACCAAATGGTTAGTCTCGCATCTACATGTATAATCCTGCCTATAATTATTCCGGTGTGAGGAAACATGGAAATTAACGAATCATCCATCAGATTCTGGTAATTGGACGGCTAGGCCCAGCGCTAGCTACCCCAACAAACTTTTATATTTACACGACTACAATGCCCAAGAGGAAGGATTTCAGAGCACAGACTGGCCAACTAGAGTTCTCAACGCGGCGAGGCTTCCTTGCGTGGGATATCTAGACTTAGCCCCCTGTGGCTATTTAAGCGAACGGTCGTTAGGATTGAGTGCAGAGTCTATATATCCTAGATCACAAGATCTAGAGGACGTATCATTTTGCCAATCGCACATCATCCAGACCTCATTCAGGCGAGTTATTATATCACTCGGAGCATGCATGTATCCCAGGAGCTAATAATTCCAGCAGATTGAGTCAAGGAGGTTTCAGCTGGCATAAGAGCTCTTCAAAGGCTATGCAATGGCCAAGGGCATCATGCAAGGTGACCTCATGCGGCAAGAAAATCTCAGTCACTACAGCAGCCACAGAAAAATATCCCTCTCCAAAGGCAATTGGAGCGAAAGTTGGGAAAAGACAAAAGAGTCGGACCCGGAAGCCGAGGGTCTTATGCTATTCTTGTGTAATGGCACTATGTAAGCTTCTTGCAACAGATATAAAGGAGTAAAATACATGTAGTGCGAGGGCTTATGATCTCCGGCTCTAATCATATAACTTTTATATTTTCGTTTTGATTTATTTTCATTTAACATCGAGAATATTATTATAATTCTACGTACATATATATTCAAGTTTCAGTAGCAACGTAATATGAGATGCACCCAATACTATGACATGCCTATATCTAGGGCCCATGGTTGACGAGAAAGCTCTTAGTATATCCACCGGACTATTTTGAATTCCGATGCATAATAAAGTAGGCAACTTTATCTTGTTCCACCTCCTCTTAAAAAGTAGACACACATACTAAGTGATATTCCCACTCTCATTTATACATCAAAGGGGCAGACATCACGTACCTTCTATTGTGGGTTTCTTATCCTTTGAGTTTAGCTATCACAAAGATAGATACAAATCGATTATTTTATAGAGCAAAAGGCCGTAGTTAATAATTAAAACGGATAATTGGTGAGGGATTGATCCAGGTTTAATAACTGGAGAAATTCGAGAGAAAATCTACACTTTTAACCCATAAAAGGATAGCCTAATTCGGGTATAATAGGAAGTCAGGGGCTAGCTATGGCTCAACTCATTTTGGTGGGTACGTGTGTCAACTTGTATCTTGAATTTTCATTGGCCAAATCCACCTTTAGCTCGAAGTAATTAGAGTAGCTATATATGGCCTTTGCTTGAGCATGAGGCTTTTACTCCAAAGGCTTATTGCTACTCAAAATGACACGCCCATCCACCAAAATGAGTTGAGATAGGTGTGAGACCATTATATGTAAGACAAAAGTTTCACCTGCCCATCCTCATAGCTGGCGGAGCTGCCTGAGCTGCCTGTCAGACCGCCGAGGAGGCTCTCACGCTCAGAGCTATTTACTGCTAGTTATGAGTACATATATATTCGGATCTTGCACTTAGAAAATCTCCCCCTGAATTTTTTGAAAAGGCAATATCAGTATCTCCAGGACATGGACTATGATCGATGTGGTTATATTGCACCAGGAAATAATTGGTATATCGATATAGACTAATGTTAGAAAGTATATTACGTCTGTTAATCATGAATGGGTATATATCCCTGGTACGTCTATCTTCCCCGACCGCGAACTATCGACATATTGAACACCTTCTCGCATCACATTGCGCAAGCGATGAACATGTACAATGATTCAATTATTACAGACTGAACACAGAATAAGATTTCAATTAATATGAAGGCTTGCTCGTTGCTTAATCTATACGATCATATAACGCTTGGATTCCTTGGGACGCTCTTTGATGGATAGCGATAATTGTGCAACTAGGAGACCGCCACGGTCGATCAGGCGGCCCAACGGCGAACGGTCCACCGCGGCCGGTGCACCGGTGCACCGACTATGAATGCGGACAGGTATGCAAAATAATGTGCGAAGACATTAATAACGGCTTAGCTTTGAGAATAAGCGTTAGGCTATTTCTGAGTTTGTCCGTCAGGGACGCGCGCTGTACTGAAATTCGAGATGTCGAGGGACGCCGGGGCTTGGCGACACTAAGACGGCTACCGCCCACCCGTTATTTGAAATAACGAACCTATGAAAGTTTGAGTTGGGCAGGCTCTATTACTTTGACACCTTCCGAAACTTATAACCAACATATTCAACGACCAAAAGCTTAGGTATGTAAACATGTTCAAATCATAACCTATCACTCGACTGCCAAGACAGCCGCAGGTCCGCAATATCAATGATCATGGGAGCAAGAATTTGGTTTACCTTCTGGCCGGTCTCCCTATTTTTTTTTTGTTTACTGATAAAACGTAGAATAAACCTTTTCTCTTTAAAATTCGTTATATGCATTATCAACGCTCAACACAAAACTATGTTTGATGTTGATATATATAAACCCAGACCGGGACGAGTCATACGATCCTAGGAATGATACTTGTTATACCAGGGCGCATGAAGAATATAAACGTTATATTTACCTACCAATAATGTAATCTCCAACCTCCTTTGAAGTCTTGAATGAAGATCAGTGAGACCAAATTCTGCAATTTAACTCCGAGTGATTAACTATGATGGCAATCATCGTCTTAGACATGGTGTATAATCTCCAAGAGCTTTCACCACTTAATAACCGAGGCAAATCCTGTATTGTATACAATATTTTTGGTGTTTGAAAGGGGTTTTTATTGCCACTAATAGAACACGCGGGCACGTATTTACCAACCCAAGCTATATAGGTACGAGGGACTTCACTTAAGTCTGCATCGCGGCTTAGAATAAAGTTTGTGCACTTCTCAAACCTTCTTGCTTGAGAATAAGAGGTTATTTTCTGTTTCACTGTTATCACGATATTATCTCTTAAGCCGTCAGGACCGATTTCAATCTCGTTACTCATACCTAATGCGGAAGTCGTGATATGAACATCGCAGAGAAGTGATCATGATGAGGTGAACTATCACGGTTTAATGATAAGAACTAGCGTGAACAGCTACGCATCATGATCACTTCTCTGCGATGTTCATATCACGCGCATTAGGTATGAGTAACGAGATTGAAATCGGTCCTGGCGGCTTAAGGGATAGCTCTAAATCTTGTGTGGGTTAAGCGAGTAATTGTAGTTGATCCAGTGACCTCTTGGGGCAAGGGGCGTCGCTATGGTGGAGATATGCCAAACAAGGTCTTAAGAGTGACAGCAATTCACAATTGTGAGGTGAAAACTGCTAGTGTGGCTTGTTAATACCTACTCTGTGTCTCTCGATTCGTCCAGTTATGTAGCCACTATACTATAAGCTGGTTCAAGTATACATCCTCAACCAGTACAAAGCTAGCTCTGAACAGAATCTTAGCCAAAGCCACAGTAAACATCGGGATTTGAACGGCCAGGCGGTAAGAACTTGAGTTTGTTGTGCCTTGGCCCAAAACCCGGTATTCACATTGGGCTGGCAAAAGACGTACCTTACCTAGAAACCTTTTGTGTCTTTTGAATGAGTGAAGTTTATTGAGGGTATACGGTTATTATAACACATATGAATTCCGTCCCTCACTAGTGAGAGTTAGCTGCCCAGCGCAGAAGGTTAGCGTCATAGCCTGTATATATAAGGACAAGCCTATGGCCTAGTAGGCTATATATCTGACGTTTAAAGCCAATATGCAATGCAATACCTATCCTGTTGTACCAAGAACCCCTCTTGATTTCTAGATCTTCTCCAGTTAAAGGTTTAGATAAATGAGTAGATGGTCAAATTTGACCTGATCGGCTGGTAGAGTAAATAGTGACCCTCGACGCACGCGAGCGTTTTATATAGGCGTGACGGATATATATCTATCGAGATCATAATATTAGATTCCAAGGCAAGTATTACTCCGCAGTGACGTTCCTCTTAATAAAGATTATAATATGAAACGCACCCTGAAAGGCCTAAACTATAAAATAGTGCGATAAGTAGGACGAACGTGGAAGATGACGCTCTACTAGCTAGGCCAGCAAACACCACCCCCACAAACGAAAACGGCCTAGAACAAATATCGTTTCTATGCAACATCTGACGAGAGTTCGGTGCATGCCATGGCAGAAGCTAGTTGCGGAAGTTAGTATTCAATTATCAATCTCGGTGAAAATAACGCACATCGTCTCACGGCTACACCGGGGGTGTCCTTATACAACAAGGGCTATTGCATTATGCTTGCAATTGCAACCAATAAGCGTAAATCGCCGCTATACAGGCCCTATCATGACAGCCCGTACCACTTGAATGCATACAGTTGAGTAGAACCCTGAGGTATTAGGCGGGAAACTCCCACACACACATACGAAGCTATGATAAGACATAATTGGCTGTATCTACCCTGTTGGGTGCTTTATATCCATGTAGCCAGTGCTTAGCTATAGGTTACACCGATTTCTCCAGCGGCGGCGTAGTAAAGATGATAGTATATGTATGACATCCTGAGCGATCCGACCTGACGCAGCCCGGTATTCCATCACTGCTCTGTCCTTATTCAAAGTTGTTCGCTGTTGTGTGCTCGTAAGCGTTCAAGAAACGTAGCGATATAAGGCTGTGCGGTGTGTAAACTGGTTGTAAGCGGAGATATGCTACTTTGACAGCACACCCTTGTTCCGATCAACGAATTACTCAACAACTTACATAAACTCTATTTTAACCCCATTCCAGGCACAACTCATGAGGGATGTGGCGGCTAATGTATTGATTGGTGTCGAATTGAGCGTCTGTGCCAATTGATTTCAATTAGACATCTGGCTAAGCTATTCTGCTTACTGTCAGGATTTCAGGACTTGAGCGGCGGGGAACTAAGTTGCCTTGCCTCGCCTTGAATCCTCATTTATACCGCTCTATTAAGTGGGCGTTCGAGTGGAGTTCTGAGCCCAGATTAACCGAGGATCATGCTTTAGAAATTGGAAAGTTGAGATATTCGGATGATGATGTGAGACTCCGTTGATAGGTAGCCGGCTATTGTAGGTGGCCGGTTGTTGTAGCCGGTTGTTGTGATTTGATATTAGAGTTTTCAGAACGCCAGACACAATAAGTGTGAGTGGAACCTAACGTCGCCAGTTGTTCACAAACAATGATGGTAGAGAGACTACCAACCTCATCGTTCATCAAATCTCTTCTGCACATGATTGCTTAGCTACAAACGTGGCAGGAATTGCTATTATGGTGATTTGACAACTGCCAAGAGCGTGACTGAGTACATGTAGCTAGGAACAATATAGAATATCCCATGGTTTGTCCTCGTACTCCACCGCTTTCATCCTCTCGTACTCTACCGCTTTCATCTTCTCGCTCTGTATACCACCTTTATCCTTTATACCCTCTTCCGGGGCATGCTGGTGTCTCCAAATATTCAACTGTGAATCTATCGGCCGCGAAAGTCCAAACAAGGGAAGAATATGTAATTGACAAAAGGAAAGCCAGTCCATGCTTCTTTGAGTTGTAGGTATCCCGCTCAATCCAGATGAACTGTAGAGCAGACCGGGTTCTAATCTCAATTACAGCCGATCATCAAGATCACACGTGGGCGATTCATGCTCGTTGCCATTATGTACTCTACAGCGCCAAATAAAAGAAATTCACAAAGACTATTGCTAACGAGCTAGAATGTTCTCCGAGAGACACCATTTCTCCCGGGCGTCTACCATCAAGGCCAAATCAGTATTCTTGGCATGGCTTATGAAAGCCAGTAAGTCCTTGTCCCAGGTATGTATCGTATGTAGAATAGGACACCATGTTATGCACCCACGGGAAGGAATTGCTTTTTTCCTATAACACGTACCCGTTAATATTCGTAACGCATCGAAACGTTAATTGAAACACTGCCTCTCACGGCAGTTGTGCCTACATACTTGTGGTTTTGCGCGCGCCCTTTTGAACTCAATTGATCATAGAATTCGATAGGTTGGGTAACCTAGCCGTTCCCTTTCCGGATCCTGTGATTTTACTAATATTCTTGTGTATATAAGAAATCTTGTGGGGTTGGTTGTACGATGGGGGAAGGCCCAAGGGGAAGAGGTTCAATGGTTTGCCAAGCACGCACTCCTCGGATAAGCATCTCGCTGTTTCAGCAACCTAGATACGCGTGACTGAACAAGTGTGAGGCAGATGAGCTAAAATTCCATCATTAGCACGAGCTTTTCGTTAACCAATTAATGCCCGATTTTACAGCAAAACGTTTTTAAGGCAGTGGCACCCGAAGAAAAGCGGTTTCGATTGAGTCCCAAGGACCACGAACCCGACGCTGCAGACTGAATTCACTGCAGATTTCAAGAATTCGCACAATTCGCCCTCAAGGCTCTTGTGTTTCCATGTTGGTCAATGCGGCGGTCAGCTGTTGTAGTTGATTTTGGTGGTGTGAGTCCTCGTGGCTGGCTCATGCACAGCTCGGCACTCGCTCTCTAGCTCAACCTCGTGAAGAAGGAAAAAAAAAGGGAAAAAAATTTTGTTCGCTCTGAGTTCCAGGCGTCTGGGTGAGTTGACGGCCGGTACCGACTGGTTGTCCGCTTGATTTGAGCCGAATTCGCCTCACTCAGCAACCACCTTAATGGGTCAAACTGCCTCTAAAGTACCTCCGACGCGGAGTGAGGTGACTTTTCTCATACCAGGTAGTAAGCAGTTATTTGTAGGTACCATTACTCGATGAAAACCACAAAAGGTACCTCGTAATGTAGCATCCAGAGGCAAAAGGTACAGGGACTGGTACCTACGCGCTGTCCTCCACATCCTTTAACGGACAATAGGAAGAGAAAGAAAGAAAATTTCTTCCTTCCCCACACACGCAAGGCAGGAGACTTCGATTTTGGAACGGCGATTCGAATCTCAAAGTATCGTGATATCTGTCTGTCAATGGATACTACCATCGTCACCTGTACCATTCCCCAACTGCTACTAGTAGGTACTCTGGATGTCACCGACAGTCACTCTATATTAAAGACCTGCGGGGAATCATCGGCTGCAGTGAGTGTTAGAGGTTTGGTAAATTAGCCCCTCCCTCGAACCACCGTGCCCCAGGGAGAACCGATAATTTGCTCGGTTGAGTTTACCACGCTAATTGTTGTACTCGCACTGTTTTTTAACGAGGCGTCCCCTTAGAGAAAGTTTGCAAACTGGACTGAGGTGGTTTGTAGTATTACGTAAAGCATCCAACTGTTATTGAGCGCATACGTATCCCCAAATGGAGGGAACATACAGCCTCCTTGTAACTTGTTGAAAGGGCAAGTCAGAGTGAGCTCTACATCGACCTTTCTCCGAGATGCTAGATGCTGTCCGCGGAGATGTGCGATAGGAAAATAAATAAACTCTTGACACGCCAAGAGTCAACACCTGAATGAAAAGGATCGCCTTACACCGTCTGTGGACTCGTCCCTTTTGGTCTTGGGATCACCCTGCTCCCTCTTCCACCATCACACCCACCTTGGTTACGCCTGCTTTTAAAGCCTTGGAACGAAAGCGAAATTTCCCCCGCAATTTGCCTGTTACGGCGGGGAAAGAAGGTGCGGTGTGGTGTGCAGGGGGCCCTGATCGTCAGGGAGCCAGAAATGCCATTTCTATTTTCCCCTCTCGATTTGCGTCGATCTAGACGTCCGTTTTCCTTACTTTTTTCTTTCCCTCTCGCGCACCATAGCTTCTGAGGAAAGCTTTCACTCATCGAAGCAGGGAACAAATAAGAAAAAGGGGATCACGTACCGGTTTATCTATCATCTTCATCCATCGTGAACGATCAGATTGAAATGATGTCACTGATGACAATATCGATATATCCCTTAACAGTCAGTCTAGGCGGATTCGGTTTGGGGTTGATGTTTACACTTTTCAGTGACCGCGCAAAACGATGCTTGAGGCGCACTTGGTTGGGCAGGGTATCTTTGAGCTCCCCCTTCTTTTCTCGTCTACTTACGGGGGCTTTCTACTTTCCAGCGGCGCGTGACGTGGGTTTAGTAGGGTATTTCTCATCCCTGAATAGTGGAAGCTAATGTTGCTTGCTGTCGCCGCTTGCTCCATGCAAAACAAACAACGGACGCCAATTTTTCGTTTTTCATTTTTCTTATTTTTGCGCGAACCACAATTGAGCTGGGGCCGAACATGCAAGATGCTTAGGGTCGCGTCGGTGGTCGGCAACGATCAGCGAAGTGTGAGGCAGCGCAAAAAATAGATCAATGATAATTTGCACGAGCGCTCATACTCATATATGACAGTAGCTATCCCACAGTCGGGACGGAGCTCGTACATACATACATACATGCTTTAAGCCGAGTGCGAGATGGTGCATGGTAGATGTGCTGTTACATATTTCCGTCAATCTGGCGAGGTGGATCTACTAGGGGAAGATGGCAGAGCAACAAATATCAGTTTTGAGGGAGATCAAAGACAATTTGCTGCGAAACTGAACAATGGAGAAAGTGTAAAAACACGTGGGCTGCGCAGAATTGGTTTCTGGACCGTTTCTGTTCAGTTGGAGGAGAAAGCTCTCTATGGAGAAATATACTTGTGCTGCGCCATAGTTACCAAGCCGGAGTTCAAAGGATTCAAGAGCCGGCTTGGCCAACCATGTTGAAGCTGTGCTGATTCACATCGAGAGCTTACATACATGTAGTTCCAATAAACCTAAATGCTCCTTCACTTCTTTCACTTGCTGTCACAAGTGCTCTTTACTCTAGTGGTAGAATAGTAGGCAGCCCAATGTCCCCACTGCTTTGGTATATGCACTAGCTGCGGATGATGGACCAGGGCTGATCGTGGTGAGGCTTGGGTGGAAAATTTCCACGCTCAATAATTTTTTTCAGCCTCCAGCAGACGGCGGGCGGGCCCTTGGACATATAAAAATTTGTAGGTGATGTAAGACTAGGCGGACCTCGGTGTTGCTGAAACAGGCAGCGGCGGCGAGCGAGCACATCAACATGCACCATAGGGCTGCTTGGTAGACTCGGTAAAGGATATTTTTGACAAGAATGCGCTGCAAGCCTGCAACAGTGGGACGGAGGCAAGGAAGTGTTTTCCAACGACGCCGCCATCTTCCCTCCTTCCCTCCTTCGATCATATCCATGCTAGTTAACCTGAAACGGTTTTTTTTTCCTGTCTACCCGTCGATTTAGCATTGGAGTCCATCTCAAGTCGGCCTTTTTTCCTTCCTTTTTTTTTCTTTTCTCTTTCACTCCGTAAAACAAGAACAAAAAAACGAAAAATGAATGCAAGATGGTATGCGAAGTTCAACCCTGGAATGGGAGTGCGGTAGTTGCAAGTAGACGCGATGAATGCATAACGCACATGCGCAGGCCATACTCTAAACGCATATGTATGGATGGATGGATGTAGGTAAGTGAGTAGGCGGACCTCCATGGAGAGTGGAGGAACAGAAACACGGGAGCTAAAATGACGACCAAGAAGTCAAGGTGCCTTTCAGCATCGTGTTCATGAAGATCCCAGAAGAGGAACCACTTCGTCTGGAACGACCCGAAAGCAAGACCCCACCACTCATCACATCAGCAAGCACTTTTATTTTTTCCTTGATGTGCCAGAGCGTACTAGCGCTGCGGGAGAGCAATTCTATACGTAATGAGAAACCCGGGGTAGTCTAGCGGTGACCAGAAGAACATAACGCCTTCGCAGGGCAGCATTGCAAGTATGGATGCCATGGCCGCAAAAGCCCAACCAGTCTCACCATGTGAGCGCCTGAACTGCATCGTGACCACCTACCTACCTACCTACATACTTCTTACTCACCTACCTACCTACCTCTCTCTTTGGGCCTCTGCACTCAATCACTCCACTCACACTCACACTCACACTCATTCGCTGTCTGGTTATTAAGGAATCGAGCAGTATATAGCTTCAGCAGTAACCTCGCCGAGTTACTGCCTCTTCAATAGATTACCTTTAGTTCACTTTGCCAAATCCCCTTCTTTGCACTTACGATACAAGTTGGGGTATACATACCTACAATACATACTATCCTCTCATACACACACACTCACTCACTCAGGAGCTTTTACTACATAAGCTGTGTGAACCCATTCAATCAATCATATCAATTGCCTAGAACTGCAGCTCTCACTCGCCCATCATAACCACCACAGCTGCTAAGCTGAACAACCACAACATCCCATTAACAAACGGCTGTGCACCCAACACGTTCTGGGCTGTTCAGCTGTGAGTTACCGCGGGTTTTGGGGCTAGGTCTTTTTTTCGGAGGAGGATGGATTTGGAAGTAAAAGAGCTACGACAGAAGATCTCATAAACAGCTAGCTTTCCCGCACACCCATCTCTTTCTCAAATAATTCCAAACCTTCAACCAAATAATTGCAATCCCTGCTGGCTACTATTTCCTAGCTTCCTCACTACAGCTACAACGTTACTACTACAACAACTACAACTCAAATCACAACCACAGTTGAAGAAGTCGAAGCTACCCAACTCCAACCCAAGCATCATCACACACAGTTACTAGTGCCAGATCAAGACGTCAGAAATTGCAACTAAAGTTATCTAGCTCAATTGGTCAACGAGTAGTGTCCGCCGTCACAACCCAGCCCGCACACGTCGTTAGTTCAGTTGTTGAGGAACGGCTAGCGCCAAAGGGGTTTTTCTTACGACATTTTTATGCCCATATATCGAAACCTCACCAGCAAAACCTCACAAGGGAATAAATTTCCTCGACTACTCCTGCACCCTCCATCCGACGATCCATCACCAGCAAGCTCAATGATATACCTACCAAACATCGAATCGCTTTCCTCAAAGCAAGGGAACTCCAAGAGACGCTTCTCTGGATCCCGCTCTAGTATGGAAGGAGTTCGCCCCATGCTTGAATCCTTCCGCTCATCGAAATCAACGCTCAAGGCCAGTGTTGAGGTCAGTCCAGAGATAAAAATGACAATTGAGTCACCGCCCCTAGTCTGCTACGGGGCACCAAAAGAGTCGACTGGTGCGCTCTTGTCTGGCCTCATCCACCTAGACGTCAAGGAGACGCAAACATTCGAAAGCTTCACCATGTCCTTCAAGGCCGAAGTCCTCACACGACGACCAGTAAGCACACATTGCCGGGATTGCGCCGTCAACATCAGCGAACTCCACAAATGGACCCTCATCGCCGAGCCCGTCCTCCTCAAGAAGGGCATCCACACCTACCCATTCAGCTACCTCGTCCCCGGCCACCTGCCCGCCACAAATAACAACACCCTCAGCAAGATCACATACAGCATCTCCGCCTTGGCCATGAGCGTCAAGGGCGACGAGATCAAGTTCAAACAGCCCATCACCATCCAGCGCGCCATCCTGCCCGGCCTCGACCGCCACTCCATCCGCGTCTTCCCCCCCACCAATCTCTGCGCCTCCGTCAAGCTCCCACCCGTCGTCCACCCTGGCGGCGACTTCCCGCTCGAGATTCGCCTTGATGGCGTCGTGCCAAAGAAGAAACAGACCCGTTGGCGACTACGCAAGGTCTCGTGGCGCATCGACGAGAACTGCCGCGTGGTATCGCCGGCGTGCAAGTCCCACAGCAACAAGCTCGGCGGCGACGGAAAGGGCCTGCTGCACGAGGACTCGAGGATAATTGGGTCGGGCGAGCTCAAGTCGGGTTGGAAATCGGACTTTGAGGCGGCCGGGGGAAAGATTGAGATGCAGTTTATGGCGGGGATTCCGGCGCATGCGGAGGCGGCGTGTGATATCGACTCGCCGTGTGGGATCGTGGTTTCGCACAATCTGGTCATTGAGCTTATCGTTGCGGAAGAACACGTAAGTTCTTTCCCCTAATCCAATTGATCTTTATCTTGAGAACTAGCCCTTACTGACTATCTTCCCCGCTATTACAGTGCCCCACAACACAAACCCGCCTGATAACACCCACCGGCGCAGCGCGTGTCCTTCGGATGCAGTTCCGCCTCGCCGTCTCTGACCGCGGCGGTCTCGGCATCTCATGGGACGAGGAGACCCCCCCAATGTACGAGAACGTCCCCGAGGCCCCGCCGCACTACGCCGGCATACAGTGTGGAGATATATCGGAATTCCTACCACCAGATTATGAGCATAGCTGCTGAACATCTCCCCTCTCTCTTGCACATACAGCACTACTGCTACACATCGTCACCCCACATCGCATACTCACTACTACTACTGCTACTCTTGATATTTGATTTTTTCCTTTGTTTGGGGTGGGGAGCGGGGGGGTTATTTGGTATTATCTTTTATTCTTTCCGCTTTTTGCGAAGGGTTCATTGCGGGTGTTTTATTTTTTTTATTCTTTCCTCTACTTTTATTCAAGGGCCCTCAATTTCTCAACTATAGACCAGGTGTTTTTTTCTTCGTTTTCTTCTTTTTTTTCGTTGGTGTTTTCGTTGTACAAAAGTATATCTTTTCTTTTTCCGGGTGAGCCCGGGTGAGTGAGGGGAGGGTGCACCTAACCATACTCACCCCATCTACCTATTCTGTTCCATATCATGTATAACTAGAGAGTCATGATTTCTTGTACATGGACCTTGTTTACGCTCTTCACGATGCACGAATTTCCTTTTCTCTTTTCTTTTTCTCTCTCTCTCTATGGAGCCGGAGGTGGACAATTTAGCTAGGACTGGAGTGGACTCAGGGGTGGTTATGTTATATGGGTACGGAGCGGGGACGGGAGAGTACAATATACCTAATAATGAATGAATAGAGGAGAGGGAAGGAGACTGAGTGGCTATACCCATCTGACGATAATTGTGCATTCTGCTCTACTCCCATCGTGATCTTGTGCAATTGGTTTGTTGTTCGCGGGGAAGGGCCCGATTGAAAGGGAAGGAGATAGAGTGGAGAGATAGGGGGAATATCGGAACGTCATGATTGATGCAGAAACACCCGACGGCGTGCGGTGATCATGACATACCAATTGCAACGGTGTCCATCGATCAGGATAGTCAAAAAGGCAAGTCACAACCCGGTTTTTAAGCATTGTGTGTGTACGTGCATCATCTCATCTCATCTCAGAGTACATAGAGTGAGTACATGATGATGTGAGTGTGGAGTTAAAGTTATATAGAGTACAAATATAGATAAACTCTAGTGGGCTGTTCTATATCTCAAACCCGTTTTTGTCGTGCGGCGCGCCGTTGCCAAGTACGGGAGGAATCCTTGTTTGAGCTAGCTTAACTAACTGAGCCCTAGCCCTAGCCCTGGCCTCTGTCACGCCGTGACATGATTGTTTGCGTGAGTTTGCTTGGAGTATTATTTATAGTGGGGAATATTTATAGTCTTCTCTCGTGGTGGTAGTGCGGCGTAGGCGACGGGTGGTAATTATGTACTTGTCCTAATTTACGATTTCCAGCGCACAATTGTCATAGGCTACACATAAACAGAGCCCGCTAGAGGCCACAAACAACGTGGAACTATATGATCGTCTCGCTTCCGTGCCGGGCCTCTGCTTAGAGAGAGTGGATGCCGTTGGTGGGAAGAAGATATCCTTATTTGGTGGTGGTGAAAATATGGTTTGTTGTGTCGTAGTTTCATGGTATGCCAAGCACATACGGATAAGCGTAACTTCCGCTGAGGATGGTGTGAGTCTTGCGTATCCCCATACTATCCGCTATTCCCGACTCGTCTGTTGACACCACGTGTGCCTGCCTATCTGTACACTCGGATGCTACACCTTCGGGGAACAGGTCTACCTCCATATACTATTCCGTGGACGGGTATCACCAGAAATCATCACCCTACCAGCTCTAACCACCCAGACAGCTTTGCATTGACATATGACCGGGCTTCATCTTTCAATGAGGAACGGACTTCAAGACACCTGGGCCTCCTTGGGCGCGCAAGATGATCGTATCCATAGAACAAAGTCCTGAACGTTTCGGCACCGCCAATTATCCAGCCGCAACCTCTATACGCAGTATACGGGCTGGCGGACCGTGGGAGAGAGGATGTAAGGGCGCAGTATGAAGGCTTGGCTTGGGCGGCGACCGAGTGATATTTCATGAGCGGTTGATATATTGCAACTAGCAAGGAGAGCACGGAAAGATTCTTATCGTTTTGCTGGTTGGGGCAGGGGGTCCTGAGATACTTGCAGCTGAGCTTTGATGGGATTGGTACGCACAGTTCTCGGTGTCATCTGCCGGCAAGGTTGTCGGAGCGGCTGTCGGCTAGGACGTGATAATCATAGGTTATCACTCGGTCTGTTCTTCCATTGGCGCTATGGCCAGGATCTCAATGGGGCGGTTTAGTACAAGACTCGTCGCTTTTGGCGAAGTGAAGGTCTGTAAACAGAATAAATATAAATATAATAGTGAGAATATGGTGGAGGGGCTGGGGGTCAGCGGCGATCTGTTTACCGACACTGAGAGAATTAGTAACGGTTGTTTAATTATTTAAATTAAACCATTCCTTGTCAGTAGGACTTGGCTAGAAGTAGTCCAAAGGATGCTCGCGATCGTAATGTGTCTAGCTTGGGGTATTACTTCTCTTGACTCTTCGTCCATGGGTTTATAGCCTCGTTTATTCGGCCCTGGGGACTGTACTTGCATGGTATTCATTAATCCACAGCCTACGTTCTCAGTGCGTGTTATCTGTAGATGGGCACCTTTGCTACTCGATATTGTTGAGCTACCTAATGAAGATAAAATCTTGATTTTGAATGATCCCATAGACGGATGCCCCCCTCCATATGTTGAAGGCGAAGATATAAGGTAAAGATGCTGCGCTGAATTCCTGTGGTGTTATTTCATCGGGGTTAAAGAGGGATACATATAGTTCATACGGACAGGAGTTATAGGTGATATATACGTATAGCAATATTGAGGGAGTACTTGTACGATTGTGACCACGTAGTAACTATCTATTTATGAAATGCGTCAATAAGAATTGAGGATACGTTTCATGACCACGTATATCAGTTTCGGGTACCTGCCTTTTTTTCTGTTAACTGGTAACTCGTCCTATTTCCTAGCTGTGGCTACTTTTTTTAATTTACTGACATTTCAAACCATTTCCTGAGCTATGGTCGAACATTGACCCTATTTTCATGTAGAAGACGGCCCAAAGCCACGGCAAATATCATCGGCGGACCATCGACTCGATTAAGAAAACAAGAGACAGTTAATTAGAAAATCCACCCTCATTATTTCTCATGAAAACCAAGCCGTTTCATCCTTAAACATGAAACCATGCTCACTCCCGGTCAAGTTAAACGAAAGTCACCGACGATAGAAGCTGCATTTCGGCTCAAGTGTTTCATTAAAAAAAATACCCAGTATAAAATTTACCACCATTGAATGCGAATCACGGAGCTGCGGCGAAGATTCTAGACTTGCCCGTCTCGGTCTATTGGACTCTGCTAGCTTCCCATAGAAAGATGGAATACGGTATCTTTTACATATCTACATCCTCTCTACCCCCACCACGAATACTTCTTTCAAGATAAAACAACCATCAAAACCGACCACCAACCACCAACCACCAAATCAAAAACCCCCCTCCAACTCACCGTCACATCGATAATCATGCACAACTACAAACAAACTTACCTCTTCACTCTCCTCCTCACTCTCCTCCTCCTCTTCATCACCGCCCCTGCCCCCGCGCACGCCAGCCAGGCCACTACCACCTGTCTCCTCAAAGATACCGTCTCCGAGTTCAACTTCGAGCCCACCGCCAAAGACGCTTCCCGCGCGCTCACCAAGTTCTGGTCAGACTGTACCAGTGGCGCCATCAAAAAGCCCTTCATCGCCTCCGGCGACACCCAATGCATGCAGCTCACCAACGTCGGCACAGCCAACATCAGGCTGTGCCCTCCATCTCTCAAGGACCGCAATGTCTGGAGGAATGGCATAGAGTACAACTGTAACGAGATCAGGGTAGCCGTTATGGAAATTAACGCCTACTGCACAGCTAATGGGTTGGCTGCGGGGTCGGCGTTGCTGGAGGATAGGAAGAGGGGGCTCGTGATTGTGAGGAGAATGATCTAGGATTACTAGGGGGTTGGAGATTTCCCCCCTGCTTTTTGGGGTTCTTTTCTTACGTTTGCGCGCTAGAGATGCGATTTCTAGTGGGGTACGTGCTTCTTTTTTTGTACACAAGGTCAAGTAGTTATAGAAGCTTAAATACCAAAGTCAACTTCTAAAGCTTTAAACAGCATGGTCTTCGCAATCCTTAGAAAGTGAATAGAGAGACAATCGTTCCCCAGAATATATGGTATACCATTCTAGTCTGTTCAGTAATTTCTTATACCTACATGTAATTATCGGAGAGGGTCTACGTATTGTTGGGTGCAAAAGTTCTCGTGATTTTTTACAAGGATGGGTCATGAAACGACTATCCCACGACCGCAAAAGATATAGGGAGGATATTAACACGATTAGAGGGCTAAAGATTGATAGAACATACTTCTTCGGTCTGAATCCCGATTACTGACTTTATGGATTAGACTTTTGGGTAATTTCTGCTGGTTACTACGCACCCCACAATACTTATGTGAATCTGTTCCAATCCGTGTTGAAAAAGATAAGTCACAAAAAATCACTCGAGGCTCGAAGCCAGGTAGTCTCAATACAAAATCTCAATAATCTTTCTGTAAAGTATATATTTACTCAAAAATAAAAAATAAAAAAACTCGTCATAAAATCATTGTCGCCAACCAAGCCGTCATTCATCCATCCATTCCCGACCTTACGGACCGAGCGTCCCCAGCACCTCTATTCTTGAACAACCTCTCAAGAAGCATGTTGGTCTCAACTTCTCTTGCCTCACTCTCCGTGGCCCGAATTTTCTCCCTCATATGGAGCTCTTCCGCCTGTCTATGTAGTGCCGCGAGCGCAACTAGCCGCTGGTTCTTTTTGTTTATCCTGAATAACAGATTCTTCGCTGCGATTTCCTGGTCTTGAAATATCCTTTGATAGGCTACCGAGGGCTTAGCGAGTCGCGAACTTCCTCCGCTAACGCCTCCATGCTGGATCTCGGACAGCCTGGCATAGGTTTCGCGTGCTGTGGTCGCAATCAATTGGTTGACATGTTTGACGTCCTCGTCGAAATTTCTCAGCTCGTCAAGATCATTGGGCGGAATGGCAAACCGATCATCATACGCCGTGGCCGCTTCGATATCACTCATCACTGCGCGACTAACCACTAGAGGGGCGAGGCCCACCTCGGCAATGTGGGCACTACTGAACTCAGGTGCTTCATGTGGGGCCTTGAAGGGGTTAAGAACCATAGTATTTGGCGGACCACCGTTCTCTGGTTCGTGCTCTTCGATGCATGGCTCGCCCGACGGTGTGTATCCCACAATTCGCCAGATCTTTTGCCCCCTTCCTGCTGCTTTGTGTCCCACATTTCCGCCTCGGATACTCCTCCTATCCAGTTCATACATCTCTATCGGGTCATTTCCTTTCTTCTCTCCCATCCCAGGCCTCTCGGCGGTTTTTGGAAGCTCCGCTACAATATCGGGCTGCTTCTCCTTCACTGGCTCTACCACTTCTTGAAAACAGGCGCTCGGAATGGCGCCCTCATTGACCTGGAACTCGCCCTTCCGGTCCGTCTGTAATATCTCGCCAATCTTGCTCTCTACCTCCCATAGTAAATCATTGATTGCGTCCTCCCTCGTCACCCACTTCTTCCCCTTCGCCTTGCACTCTCTCTTCCACAGTACCTTCGAGTTGAAATCCGCATGCGAATCGCGCAGCGAGCACGTCTTTGGTAGGATCAGCGCTGTACATGCGTTCGAGACGCCATTGTTGAAGGTGTGATAGAACGTTATTAGCTGAACCTCTTGCCCGAAGAGCCATCTGCAATTCTCTGAGTACCCATGGCCTTTAGTATCAATGAGGGGCCAAGGCTGGATGGGTCTATCTGTGTGTGCTAACCTAGTACCTGCTCGCGCCGCTGGGAGCTCGTGGGTTTCTCGTCGCCATCCATAACCGTGCAGGGGTTGAGCTCTGGGATTTTATCTGTTAATGTTGCGGGCCTGCTTCCTGTCATTGACTAGAGTTGTGCGGTTTATGAAAAAGAAGGAGGAAGAGGGGGCTCAGCCTGTAGTGTTAGCTGGTGGTGTGTCCAGCGAGCCACCATGTGATTGGTAATATTAATAGGTACCAACGTGGTACAACAGCGCCTGAAACAGAAGGTTGGCTGCATTGGCTATACTTGACCGTGTGGATGTCCGAAATTGGAATCGGGCGGGGCGTAGAAGCACTCGATTAATATCATATGCCTTTTTTTTTTTTTTGGAAGGGATATGTATTTGGCCGTTGCTGTAATATTGCACTGCGGTACCTACGAGTCTACCAGAAATGCGACCCAGTATTGTTAGATTATCCAAATACGGATGTTTGGCGTTAATAACCTGTATATTTTGCCTATTATCAGGCGACATATATCTGGCACACTGCATGGCTGTTGGGTAAAGACGTTAGAACCAATTACCGGCACTTGAATGTTTCCTTGGCAGTATCTAAAACGTTGAAGATCGATCATGAGCTAGGCCGAACGTGTAAACCTTACTTTCCTTTAAAAATTAAAATACTAGGGTTCCTGTGTGTCTTTTGTCTAGGTACACGGGGGCACGGGGGGTCATTGTTAAGGATTCACACACCATAAAATATTATCCTACGGAATTTGAGTTGTCGAGTATGGGTACCATGTGGGGAAAACATGCTCGAAATAAACTCGGTCTCATTACTCTTGTGGACCAGTACTGAATACACGCCCTGAAGCATCAAAAGCGGGAAGTTCGTATAGCTGCCATCCTTCAGGAGGTACAAAGATCTAGAGGCTTCTAGCAAATAAATTAAGAGTTTAGTGCGCCGTGCAATTGCAAGTCTAGTCTACAGTTCGATACGCATTCTGCTTGAGGGAAAGCATTACTACATGTAGTTCTATTATTGTAGAGTATTCACCGACATACCTGTATTTATAAAGGGTTTAGATCGATTTTATGTACTGAGTGTCGAGATCCGATGATCCTATTTCTCTTATCTTTTAGTCATGTTATATCACTCGGGGGGGGCCGAGTCAACCGACCGGACAGGGACCATGAAGTGCTTGTCTTTCATCAACAGCTAGTCTATTTTCCTTCAAGAGACGACTCGAATGTAATGACACCCGCCTGGGCCTAGTTTAACCCCTCCCGGCCAGACTCAAGTGTTGAAATGCTAACCCAGCCTACATGTAGTTATACGCTACTAATTAAGACCCCGAGTAAGCCCATGGCCATAATTACAGGCGCTTTGTAAAGTTATTGGTGATTAGTTTCGAACACCTTTCAGCTTTGATACCCAGCTGCAGTTAATCACCTAGGTAAGTCAGAGATGTACGTACCTACATGCTTTAGTAAGTCCATGTCATGCCAACTTTGAGCCTGAAGGATGTTGGGTGACTGCGGCAGGGGACTATTTCCGGCCGGGTGCCGTCGGAATTGGTCGGCATCATTTCTCTCAGAACAAGTCTCCGTGTGATGGTGAACGAATGAACAGCATGCCGAAAAACACTGCCCACGACCAAATTTTCATCAATGTCGAGTAGCTTAATTACACTTCAAGTACCCTTCGACCCACCGCTCTTCTCTCTCTCGGCTTAGTAAGCAGGAGGTAATGATAGAATGAGCAGGATGACTGCGTTAGTCTCCACTAGCGTGGTTTGGTGGGGCCCGGGCCTATATACAACTGTAACATAACCCTATTACTTTTAATCTGTCTGATCTCGTACCGTACCCAGCTCATATTCCGGTAAGAAAATCTGACGGGGCGAATATATAAGCTCACCTCTTATCCTAAATTCTAACGGCAATAATGGCCTATGGGTTCGTACAGGAGGAAAGGACATAATTACATATATATATATATATATAAGTCGCGCATAAGATTAGCTTGATAGTAGCTACATACATGTATACGTAGATATAATGAATATATACAAATGGGTTATCCAACTAGAGTGAAGTGAAATAATACTCTACTCAGGCATACGCGGTGGTAGGTTTCCGATTGGTCCGTTGAGAGGTGAGAAAACATGCCTAAGGTCACCCACACATTACGCAAAATATCATTAAATCGGAGTTGAAATCTTCTGGAATCTTCTGAGACAAGTTTTGTTGACACCGCTAGTACCTACCGGAGGTCAAACACAAATTGGGTAAATATACCCTGGTCTGAGATCCGATTCGATTATGTCCTTAGCACACAACACACATCATAACTTTTGGAACTGCCATGGCAGTCTTCTTACCTCTTATACAGAGATTTTCTATGATTCAATGACTCTGGAGATCCGTCGAAGCTGGGATCGAGATGTGCCGAGTAGGCACGTACCCACCAACAAGGGGTTCTTTATTCTCAGTAGATGCTTATACTATTAAGGCTACCCCACGCGCGCCTCCAAAAAAAAAAAAAAAAGACATGCAAGACTCAAATGTTGCAACCACCCACTCCCAGGAGGCTACGTAGCTATGACTTCAGAGCTTTAGACACAGAAATTCACAATGATCCGCTCTGCTCCTAGGCATGATTCGTTTTTCAGTATATCATTAATTAGTACAGCGAAAAGTAGAATTATTGTAGAAACAGGGGTCTAAAAACAGGGTTTCTATGGCTGGGCAAGCCAATAGGGCTCCTCCCATACTTCTACAATAATCTTACCGCAAGCTGTACACCAGCTACCGCCCATTAACTACCCCAAAGGAAGTAATGACCCAGAAATAAGAAAATGTTGCGTTCTTATACATTAATCCCATCCTTAACCTTAGATCTTCTCCAGATCACACCCTGTACTTTGGCGTCCAAACCTCAAATTCAAAAGTCTTACCGCATTGTCCCCCAAAACACCTTCCGCTATCCCTCTCTCCAGCCCAAATGAATCATTGATGGCCTTGTAATTGGTTGTCACGCTCAACCATGGTTGATCCTCCTCCCCCTCCAGAGGTGGGAAGAAGGGATGATCAGTCCCAAATAAGACTCTGTCGGCACCAGCTACGTCTACTGCGGCCTTCAATCCAACCGATGAATACACCACTGCATCTAGTATGAGATTCTTGGATAATACATCCCAAATGCTTCTCTTAGGCGCTGTATTTGTGTCTTTGAGATGCGCGTCGTGTGCAATAACAGACTCAAGGCGGCCCGCAAGGAAAGGGAGGGTACCGCCAGAGTGAGCGAGGAGCAGTGTGAGGCCTGGGTACTTGTCAAAGACACCAGAGAGGATGAGTCGCGCAACTGCAATCGTCGTTTCAAGGGGAAAACTACGTGCGTAATCTCAGTACTTAGGATATGAGAGATACAAGCCGGAAAGGGATATGTATACCCTAGCGCCAAGGGAAGAACATGTCCATACTCGGACGCCCTTGGTCCATACACCTCTGTAGGCAATCCATAATGAGGATGTAAAAACATTGTCTGCCCAGTCTCCTCCAGCGCTTCATACACCGGGTTCAACCTCTCGTCATCTAGTCCGTTGCCTAGCCCAGAAGTACCCATGACAACACCCCTAATCCATGGCATCCCTTTTAACCTCCGAATCTCTTCTGTGATCTCTTCCACGCTTGCACTCAATGGAAGTGTTCCAAAGGCATATAACCGGCCCGGGTATAGTCCACAGCTGGCGTCCATATCATCATTGATGAGCATCGCTGTCTCTGCAGCCTCAGAGGGAGGCAAGAAATCAAGCCAGGGGTTTGCGAGCGAAACAACAGAGATATCAATCTTGTGCTGGTCCATAAAGGCAATCTTGTAACTGAAATCATAGTACTCAGGACCGATAGGGCGGCCGCGAGCTGTGGAGCTGTTGGACGAGTCTTCGCCTGGAAGAATTATGAGTCGCTCCTCGGTAGAGGGGGGGAATGTCCGCACATAGGGGACTGTATCTCGGGAGCGGAGAACTGGAAGACGCCAGGGTGTTAGTTGTTTTTTGGAACTAAGGAGTAGGAAAATGAAAATCTTACGGTCCATATATGCAGGGGGGTAGACATGAGTGTGGATATCGACAATTGTCATTTCTGCGGTATTAGGATTTGAATTGGTGGGTAAAGGTGAGTTTTCTGTGTGGGGGGTATGAGTATGAGGATGAGGATGCCTCACCTCCTGTCTTCTTGCGCTCTATATACTTATAAGATCTATTAGCGGAAATTTACCCTGTGAGAACAGCTGTCCTTCAGTACGGCTGGGTACGTGCGTACGTGAGAACCGATGACATACGTACATGTACTTAATACTTACTTGAGTAGGTCCTAGGGGTAGATCCGGATTGAAACCGCACACACAAAGAAGGTAAGTGATCTAAAGACTGCAAAAAGGAGAGCTCCGATTGGCTATATCCTGGAGAGGACCTAGAAGCTCCGAGGCTCCACTAGCCATCTTGTGTAGAGTGCTCTACCTGACTATTCATCCCCCGCATACATGTAGATTGTAGATATATTTAAACAACCCTCCAAATTCCTCCAAATTGGTCGGGGACACGCGACGACAACGGCGGACGGGCCCGGTATTATTCCCACTTCGGATAAATATTACTGAGACTATACCCTATTTCGACCTTCTTGGCATCTGTTTATCGCGATAAGCAGCGTTTATGGAAGGTGGGCAGGATGGTTTTGGATAAGATATGGGCACTGTAGAAGCCGGAATGTGGGGTAGGGCTCGGCGGGTCCTGCAGAGTGGTGATAGGTAACCCTATGTACCTATCTGCTGATATGAGTGATGTTTGCGGTGATGTTAGTGTGTAGAGTACTTGATAATACGAGGCGTTTCTATTATATATCTGTCTAGCGTCGCACTCGTCGACCTATCCCCTGCTTGTAATCGAGAGTGTTCAGCTATAGCTACAGCACCTACAAACGTGCTCTCCTTGAGCCTTACTTTACTAGTAGCACGGACTATCACCAGTCGTATATGACAAACATGGTCAACGCTCCTCAGGCCGTCACGACAGCTGTCTCCAAAGATGAGTTGTTCATTCCTGTAAGAATCAAGCCTGGAAACCGCCTGACCCCACCACTCCCGTTCCTTACTGCCACTGCAAAAATCACACATACTGACCCAGCGCCTAGCTAATCGATTTCTCCCTCTTTCTTAATGGCACAGATGAAGACAAAAAAGCTGCAGCCAACGGTATGGTCGACGGCTTCAAAAATGCCGGCTTTATGTAATTCCCCTATCAAGCCTACCTCCCCAGTACTATCTCGCCAACTGACCCTCATAGCTACATCAAGAACCACGGAGTCCCGCAGCCCTCGATCGACCGTGTCTTCGCCGAATCAGCCCTTTTCTTCGCTCGCCCTAAAGACCAGAAAAACACACTCGCCTGGACCACACCCCAGTCAAACCGTGGGTACGTTTCTCACGGCCGTGAGAAAGTAACACAACTCGCCGACCCCAGTCTCATCCAAGCGCTTCGCAATACAAACCCCGATCTCAAAGAATCTTTTGAGATTGGTCGTGACAATGTACCCGGACTACCGAACCACTGGCCGGAACACCTTGACGAGGAAGGGAAGGTGTTTACGGAGACGATGAAGGCCTTCTTTGAGACCTGCAAGGGGCTCCATATCGAGGTTATGCGCGCCATAGGCTTGGGCATGGGTCTAGAGATGGGCTTCTTTGATAAGTTCACCTCTGGTGGTGATAATACGTTGCGCCTGCTCCACTATCCAGCCGTTAAGAAGGATGTATTTGTTAAGAATAGGGACCAAGTTAGGGCAGGCAAACATACCGATTATGGCAGCATTACACTGCTGTTTCAGGATGATAGAGGCGGCTTACAGGTCAGGAGCCCGCAGGGGACTTTTGTGAATGCAACACCGATTCCGGGAACTAGTGAGTATTTCATATCTATTTAACGAAGTTTTGGGAGAAGAAGTGTAATGATGTGATCGATGTCTAACTTACGTTAGTTGTGATTAATGCTGGTGATTTGCTGGCGAGGTGGTCGAACTGTAGGATCAAGTCTACCGAGCATCAAGTCGTAGAGCCGCCCATTGCGCCAGATCATGATGAGTATCCTGCCCGTTACTCTTGCGCGTAAGGCCTCACCTAATCCCCTTATTACTTTATGATATACTAATCGTAGAGATATTTAGATATTTCTGTAATCCGAACTTCGAGCAGTATATTGAGGCACTTCCAGGGACATACCAGAGTGAAGAGGACAAGAAGTTTCCGGGCATCCTAAGCGGTGATTACCTAGTGCAGAGGTTGCAGAGTACTTACACAGCTTGAGCGCTTGTTTTTATTTATTGTGGGTTTGAGTTGGGGTATGGGGTTTGGAATGCATTGACTTTTGGGGCGGACTTGAATTGTGATTTTTTATTTCTACTGCGAGTTGCAATCGATCATTTTGAAGAGCATGTTGTCTTGTTGCAATGATGATTTTGATTCGAGTCCCGTTCCTCTACATGTACTTGGTGTGGCGGGTTATTCTAAATATCTATCTATGCCTGGGTGTTTCCCGCTGGAACGACTAACTATAACTAAGTAGCAGGCACTTAGGTACGTAAGTACGTACACATATAGGAAACAAAATTGCGAACTCAACCGAATAACATAGCACTGTGGCTTTGCGAGGAGGTGTCTTTATGGCCTAGTCCTCAAAACTTCATCTTCAAACGGACAAAAAATACTGCCTTCACGGGTCAGTAGTACCATCATGATATTTTATGGATCAGAATACAATAAAGAATCTTAATAGAGAAAGAAAAATATGGATATTTTCTTTTGAATTATACCTACGGACCTATACTCCACCCCCTAACGTAATCACTTACCGACTAATAGATTTAAGCCCTGGATCCAATACCCCTGGCGGATTGGATACTTCATGCCTTCAGCACTTTTGATTCTTCATGCTGGAATACTAACTTCTACTCTAGCTCGAAGCGATCGGAATGAAGCTACTCTATTAATATATTGGAAACCATTTTCGATCCTATCTATTACTAATATACACCGGCAGGTAATAAGTCATGGGACGTACCCGTGACATGTCTGCATTTGGACGCTGCATATGAATCCGAGGGAGAGGACTTCAGCTCACAGAATTGTCAAAATGAATGGAAATGATTGAGGACACCGGCAAATGGATTATGAGTTCGGGTTCTTCTCAATTGAATGTTTATATGGGAATGAGTGTGTGAACTCAGTCACTACTTTTGGGAGTTGGCCCCGTAGTGAGGGGGGTAATGACTGGACTGCGAGATATTCTTATTATTTTAATAGAATCATGAGTAGTCAACCAAATTCATTCAGAATAGTATCAAGATGACGAGAGATATCTAGGCTATAATATATATAAGGTAAGACATGAATGGAAAATTATGATAAGAGTAAAAATATCTAGAGAGTAGGATCACCGGGTCTCGGCGCCAAGCATCAACGCAAAAAAAAACCCGAAAAATACAGTATTAGTACGGAATTGACCCCCCTCTGTTTTTAATACACATTTTGACTCTTTTGGACATACTCTCTATCAGTTTCCTAAAGTCTTCCGCTACAAACCGGTCCCACTCTTCTTGCAAAGTCTTACTCAAGGCTGCATGAGTTGTCACTCTTGGTTCTCTTTTGTTGATCCGAGACTTCATTATCCACCACAGGTTTTCGATGGGGTTGAGGTCTGGTGACTGTGCAGGCCAGGGCATTTTCTGGATATTGTATTTATTTCTCGCTGCTGAGGCAAGTTTTGATTTGTGAGGTGATGCTCCATCCTCCATTACTATTGCCTCATGAGTGGCCCGATACCGGCTTTGATAAAATGGTTTGAGAGCGGGCTCAATGACCAATTCCACATAGTCTTTGCCTAATAAGAGTTTAGTACCTACTAGTTAAATATATTTGTCCAGTGTATACCTTTTAACCCGCCATGTGGGAGGATGACCATAGGGCCTTTATTTCCCAGCTGAATACTTCCCCAAATCATGATTGACGTTCTACCACTCTTGAATGAAGGTAGGAGACACTCCTCACTATCGATCTCATCCACAGCTCGGTAAACCCAGCAGGCACCGCCATGAAACCCAACCTCAAATCGGGACTCATCAGTCCAAATTACTTCGCCCCACTCCTCCATTGTCCAAGATTTTCGCTCCTTACACCATAACATACGCTTGAGTTTGTGTAATTTGGTGAGAAACGGCTTGCGTTTTGCAAGTCGCTTATGCAGGCCTCCCTGTTTGAGATACTTCCGTGCGGTCTTCATGGAAACTTTTCTAGTGATGCTTTTGGTGAGTACACCGAGGTGCATACGCCGACTTCGCTTAGCTAACGATATGAGATGTCTCTTCTCTCGCTTATTCAATTTCTCAGGCCTGCCCGATCGAGGTTTGCTGTAACGGGGGTCTATGGACGTAGGGACTATGATGCCAAGGAATACAACCGAGGCGAAGACGTAGCAATAGGTATTCGAGACTGTGGACTATGGAGTGGCTCTGCCTAGTA